AAGGGCCAGTAAGTAGGAATATGTTTGATCATTTGTATATATAAACATATTGCAGCAACTTTTGAATACATGTATTTCGAAATCAAAGGACACTGGAATTTCCTTAAAAAAAAAAAAGAGAGAAAAGAAAAGAAAAAAAGGATACTTGGCCGTAGGATGATGAAACAATTCAGACTTGAATCAATCTGTGTGTCAAGCTTAAATGGAGTAGAAGTCAAATATTCAGTACACTGTAATATAAATGTTATTAACAAAATAGCATCACCAGAGTTCTGTTATCAGCAGAGTTTGAGTTTCTGATCAAGAAACTTACAGATAAAAAACAGAAACTACAGATAATAGAAATTATGGCTTAAGTCTAATATCTGTTTCATGATCCCACAACCAGTACATATTTATGTTGATGTAAATTTTGGAAATAGATATGAAATCAATATTCATGTATAAACTGATATATACAGTATATGTGTACATGATGACTGAAACTGCAATTTTTTCTATGATCACTTCTTGCAGGAATGGGTATGGCCTTTGGGATATTTCCTCAGAGCAAAGCTTTATTATGCTAAGGCATTAGAACCAAAAAGGAAAGGAATTTTGAGGAGCACCATAAGCTTTATTAAGACCAGACTCACTCCTCACTATGAGCATGTCATGACATCCCCCTGGCAGTCCCTCCCAGAGCTTACAAATTCCAATGGCATGGTGAGTAACAATATTTGCATTATTTTCAGAAACAGAATGGTATTTTTCATACCTCCGCTCTGAAGGAGAGGGGGGTATACTGTTTTACCATTGTGTGTCTGTCTGTAACAAATTTTCTTCACAGTTTTCTCTGCAACCACTCGTCGCAGATGCTTGAAATTTTAGCACACTTTGTCTAGGCATGCCATATGGTGGGATTCATTTTTTACGAATCTGATGTCAACTTCCTGTTTATCTGTACGTCTGTCTGTACCAAATTTCTGTCACAGTTTTCTCAACAATTTCTCAAGGCAGATGCTTGAAATTTTAGCACACTCTTTGTTTAGGCATGCCATATGGTGGGATTCATGAGAGCATATACTCACATCAGAATGGGGGTATTACTAGTGAGCATTGGCTCACAGACTTCTTTTTTGTTTTGAAAAACACACTTTTGATCACAACAGCTTGCCTACAATTCAATAACTTTTGTTTTGTAAATTGTTTTTTGAAACAAATTCAAAATCCCTTTAACCCATACAGACTGTAACCTTGTAAATGGCAAGATACATATGAGTTAAGTCTGAAGACACATTCCTCAAATACTGGTTTTTGTATCTCTGCATAGCATACTAAATTTACTTCAATTATTATCTTGTTATTTCAAAACTGTTTGCAAAATGTTTCTTTAAAAATTATAAAACAAAACTTGTGATATTTCGAGTTCAAATGATTTAAGTATGATTATATAGGAAATACCATCCTCTGGAATCTTCCACAAATGCCTGGTAAGGTACCTCAAATTTTCAAACTCCTGTTCCAAAGGAGAGGGGGATGTACAGTTTTACCCTTGTGTGTCTGGCTGTGTGTGTCCATCTGTCTGTCTGTCCATAACAATTTTTTCATTCCAGTTTTCTCAGCAACTACTTTTTGCAGATGCTTGAAATTTTGGCACCATTTTTGAATAGGCATGCCATGTGGTGAGATTCATTTTTGTATGAATCCAATCTCAACTTCCTGTTTATCCGCGCATCTATCCATATCATACATAAAAAAATTTCGTTACAGTTTTCTCAGCATGGTACTCATTGCAGATGCATGAAATTTTAGCACACCCTTTTTGAGGCATGCAATATGGTGGGATTCATTTTTGTACGAATCTGATTTCAACTTCCTGTTCATCCTTGTGTCTGTCTGTAACTGAACTTGTGTATATTCACATCAGAGCAGGGGTATTACTTGTGAGCTTTGGCTCACAGACTTCTTCTTGTGAGTAAACTTCTTTAGGTAACAATACTTCAAGCACAAATTTTTTGGGAAAAATTACCTGCTATATATTATTGAGGAACGTGTCATCTGACCTGAAGAACATGAACTAGGGTGAAAGGAACCATAATCAAAAATACATGTAAATTCTGTGTATTCAAGTAAGCAAATATTTAAAAAATTCAACATCTGTTGTCTACACGCTTTGTCACCTAACCCAGAATCAGCTGCATATATTTTTATTTTATGTCATGGACAACAATCCACTCCAACAAAGTAATTTTTTTTTCAAAAAACAAAAACAAAATTCAATACCAAACTCCTACTATACTGTACTTGTGACTTTCAGTTTTGCCGTAGCAGTTGTCCAGCCCAGGCATGGAGTGTAGCTTGTATACTGGAAGTTTTGTATGATCTGGAGCAGGTGGGAATGGTTGATGATATTGCCCCACGAAGAAACTCGGCAGACTTTTCACAGAAAACCGTGCTAGTGTGAAAAACAGCATAGACAGATGTATTTCTCTTATCCATTGCTATACATATGAAATGCATAATTTCTCTGACACTGCTTTTTGACGTAATTGTGATTATTTGTTATATGTGTATAACTGGTTGATGGTGTAATAAGACCGATATAAATCCATATATATAGGTAGTAATGGTACTTTATTATTTTGCTTTTAATACATTAATATATAAAATACATAGTTTTAGCTATACAAGTAAATGTACACACAATTTTTATTATTCATTTACATGTACCTCCTTACTTAATGCAGCTGAAGATGAAAATTTTTATGCTGAAATAATTCAATTGAAAATGATCGTATGGAAATAATATAAAGAAAAACTTCCCTAGTTCCTTCACACCAAATAATATGTATCGATGTGACAGTTGTATTAAAGTATCTCTCAGTAAACATGCACAAGTTGTAGGTCACTGTAAACAATTACCTGATTTTCCTGGAATTGTCATTGATTTCTGTTACAAAGAAGAACAAGAAATCTTAAGAATTACTGTACCCACAACTGTAGTAACATAACTAAGTTCAGAAAGTTTTAAATATTTTACCAAGTATTTTATAACTTTCTGGTATTATCAGATTTTATGCGAGATCTGTCATTTATCCTTTTTTCCTGTATGAGCTGTGATAATTCAGTTGCTGTGTAGTTTTTTTTTTTTTTTTTTTTTTTTGGATTTTTAAATATGTTTTAAAAATTAATATTAAAATGAAGAAAATTATGCAATTTTTTCTTTGTATTTTAAAATGAAAAGCTCAGAATATTGACATCATATGATTGTCTGTGAACAGCATATGATTGTCAACAATGTACAACATGGACATGTCTTTATTCTATTGTATTTGAAAAAATATGAAAGCATGATTTCTTCATGAAATTACAAATGCAATTAGCAAGCATATAGATACAATCCAAATGTCATCCAACAGTAGGTTATGATGACATTTTGGAATTCTTCAAAATTGTTTCAGGATAATGTCTAGCACACTAGAGGCCTATGATTATCAATTTTTTGTCATTTAATTGATTGTAGTGTCTGTTTGTGTAACAAAAGTGCTCCATATTGTCATCAGTCCTGACAGACCCTTGTGGTACATTGATTGACTCAGTGCTTCCAGAATCTGTTTCACTGACTTCGAAAGTTTCTCAAATACTCTTTCAAATTACATGTACAAGCTATTCCAGTGGTATACATGCATCTCTCATTTGGATACTAGAAATGATTGTATGACTTCACTGAGCCTTTTCATCTTTTATTTACCGGTATGTTTGTTTGAAATATATTTGTTTAAGCCTGGCCCACCCAGATTCATCTAGAGTGCACAGTGATTTTACACAAAGAAGTAAAATCATGATTGAAGAGAATTTTCCGCAAAATCCTTGACTGGTTTTTCAGATTGTGTTTATTCCTTATGTCATCTTGCCCAGCTTTATATTAACATGTTCATTACAATAAAAAGACTAAATTCTCCGATGAGACTGTAGCTCTACTGGTTTGTACTTTTAATGGTGGAAGAGAACAGTAGTATCTGGATTTGAAACAATCCTCTTAGTTTACGAATAATTAAAACTTTGTTAATTGAAATCAAAGTAAATTTGAAAAATTACAGAATTTCTTTTTTTTTCAGCAACCAGGGAAACGGAATTAAAACTTTTCAACCAATATATAGACTTTAAAATATCTTGGTGTAGTTTAGTTGCTTGCCATGTTTTATGTAAATTTGAAGAACCACATATTTAGTATAGTCTACTTGCATTACAGGTTTTATTGAAATTGGACAAAACTGAAGCAGGAGTAGCCAATTGAAAGAATTTCATGGAAATTTGTATTTTAGTTACCATGGCAACACCTGTTCATTGAAATCAAGAATTATGTATCTTAGCATAGTTTATTTGTGTACCAAATTTTCATGAAATTGGACCATAGTATAGGTGTAGCAATTTTAAAGAATTTCACAAAAATTTCTATTTTTAGTAACCATGGAAGCAATGCATATATAGAATAGGTAGCATTTCGAGAAAAAAAAACTTTATTAGGTGGAGAAACACCTTACCATTGCAAAGGGTCCTCCATTTTGTGTCCAGTAGAAGTAAAGAAACAAACTCTGAGTAAAAGGCAAACCATTTTCGCTTTGCAAATAAACGTTTTAACTCCTTAATTTGCTAACACCATTCATAACCACTCATACTGCTTTTGGGTAAAGGAAATGCAGTGAGGTGAGGTTGATGATTCCAACATAATGCTCAGGTTAAAATGTGGTCTTCAGTAATTTAAGCTATATATTTTATTTGCATGTGAGAAATATCCACATTTTGGGACCTTTTTATTTGCAAATATTTCTTGCCACCAAGCAATTATATGTACGTGAAGAAAGTTTCCTTGGTCACAAAATTTAATAGTCTGGAATGCATTTCAAACTTATAAATTAATAATATGTCACAAATAATATATGGTTATTGTATGGGGTATAATAAATGTACCTACCATGTTAATGCACATTCAAAAACTATTAATTACAACAAAACAGTTTGAAACTACTAAATACTTTATTGCACTTCTAATATATGTAATTTCAAAATATTCCTTGCAAAAGTTTAAAAAAAAGTATCAAAAATAATAGAATACCCTTTGGCCACCCAACTTACTTACCATAAGTAACCTTGCTCTCACTGAAAATCTCATAAACCACATGTACAGAGACAAGACTCATTAACGAACCACTAATTTAAGAAAACATTAAGAAACTTGAACCTACACTACAATATCATGCTAGTGATGATGGTACATACACTGTACATGTAGCTTTGGATTCTAAGGATTTTTAACATCACCATTTATAACTTGCCTCATGCTGGTCTCTGGGCCATGCTTTGAAGAGATTTGAATCTTACATGGGTATGACAGCATACTAATTTGACAGCCAATCACAGCTTTTCTTATTCTCTTTAGAGAAGTGGACAGGCTTTCGCCTACATCCACTTCTCTAAAGAGAATAAGCTTTTCTTTACCTAAAAAGATTTTTCCTTTATACTGAAGATTTGATCAATTTTACCCTTACAGTCATGACTCCATGATGTCTTTAATTAATAATCTAGAGAGAAAAGGTTAGTATTAGTTTTACCATCCCTCAGCATGCAATTCTGAAGAAGATATTAAAAGAACTTACATGTATTTCCCAATAATCTACTCTTAGAAAAGGTATATCTAATGACTCAAAATTTGAAAACCTCCCTCAGTTTGGCTGTTTTGAAGAACTTGAAGAAAAGGTTAAAATTCAAACCAGACAGAATAATGCAGATCAAAATTGTTGTTCAAAAGAAAAATAACTCACTGGAGTGGCTTTAGATGAGCTAAAAATGCTGTAGTCTTGTGCAAATCTAAACATAATTATTACAGCATTAATTTACAACAAGCACTTGTCAACACATTAACATACATGTACTTTTGAAGGTAACAGACATCATCATACAAGGTGTTTGTATGCTTGAAAAGAACATCATATCAATTTAACAAAGGAAAATATCAAACCAATTTCTTAAATCTTTTTTCAAAAAATGACCTGAGCTTATATATATGTACTTAGTATTCCAATTTATAATATAATACTTTGTGGAGTCTGGTATTAAAACATGCAGATCTAGCCTTCAAAAAAAACCCCAAACTTATAAGTACTGCATACAAGGCTAATTTCAACCTGTGTTGTCTCTGCCCTTTCACACTTGCAAACGATTTTGCCCCACTTTAAATTTGTCCGGACACATTTATGTTAAAGAGGTAACTCTCTTATCTTTAAATTGTTCCGTTTTAAATTTGCTCGCTTGAGATGATGGCAAAAGGAGCGAAAATTTCCCTGTATGCAGTACAACATTTGAATTGCAAAATGTTACAGAAACCCATCTGAAACAGATGAATGCATCCTTGGTACATGTAAAAAATACAAACCATCTTTCAAGTGCATCTCTCATAAAAACAACTGAATGTTGCAATCTTTCAACAATCTTTAGGAAAAACTAACAAACATAAATATAACATGGTTTGTAAAGATAACCTCTTTGCAATATAAAATACTGGTACATTGACTAAAAACATCAGCAATGTTAATTTAATATCATATTCATAACAATTTCATGGGTTAAACCAAAAACATATACAACATTGTCTTTCATCACTTGATTATAGAAACAAGGAACACAAAAAGGCAGTGGAAGATAAGCTTTGTTCTAACAAGTAAATTCACATTTTAAAAGAGTCTTAATTCTCCAATAATTACAAGATGACTGAAGACAGAAGAGTTGTTTACATCATATCCCTGGAACCTCTACAGATCTAGCCTTCCTCTTCTTCAGTCTCGAGCCCTGACTCCAATTCTGGATACCAGGATTTATTTTCTTGTTTATTCAGGTAAAGTATAACTCTATCATCTTCAACCTGTAATAATTATTAAGAAGCATATAATACCACTGTAAAACAAGATGTGTTTGTGAAACACGGATGTCCCCTATGGCAGCTTATGGCGAAGGTTAAAGTTTCTCAAATGCAAGTCAAAATCCAGGCCAAAAGATAAAAAATGTTGGTACCCAATGAAAGATCTTGTCTCGAGGAATATACCTGTGACAATTTGAAAGCCCTAGCTGCAACTGTTCAAAAGTTATGGCAAAGGTTAAAGTTTTTTAAAAGTAAGTAAAATGTCAAGGTCAAGGTCAAAGTTGTTGGTATCCAAAGGAAGGTCTTGTCACAAGGATTACATATGTGAAGTATGAAAGCCCTAGCACCAACCATTCAAAAGTTATGGCCAAGGTTAAAGTTTTTCGAAAGTAGGTCAAACTCCTATGTCGAGGTCAACGGGTCAAAGTGGTTGGTATCCAAAGGAAGGTCTTGTTAAAATGATTACATATGTGAAGTATGAAAGCCCTAGCACTAACCATTCAAAAGTTATGGCCAAGGTTAATGTTTTTCGAAAGTAGGTCAAACTCCTATGTCAAGGTCAAAGGGTCATAGTGGTTGGTATCCAAAGGAAGGTCTTGTCACAAGGATTACATAGGTGAAGCATGAAAGCCCTAGCTCCAACTATTCAAAAGTTATGGCAAAGGTTAAAGTTTTTCAAAAGAAGGTCAAACTCCTAGGTCAAGGTCAAAGGGTCAAGACGTTGATGTCCAGAAGAAGGTCTTGTCACAAGGAATAAACATGTGAAGATTGAAACCCCAAGCACCAACTGTTCAAAAGTTATGGCCAAGGTTAAAGTTTTTCAAAAGTAGGTCAAACTCCAAGGTCAAGATCAAAAGGTCAAAGTTGTTGGTATCTAAAGAAAGGCCTTGTCACAATGAATACACTTGTGAAGTTTGAAACCCCAAGCACCAACTGTTCAGAAGTTATGGCCAAGGTTAAAGTCTCATAAAATTTTGCAAAAGTGGTCAAACTCCAAGGTCAAAAGGTCAAATATGATGGTACCCAAAGAAAGATCTTGTCACAAGGAATACACATGTGAAATATGAAAGTCATAGCTCCAACCAATCAAAAGTTATGGGCAAGGTTAAAGTTGACAACAGACAGACAGACAAACAGACAGGACAAAACCAATATACCCCCGGAATCTTTCCATCCGGGGGCATAAAAAATTTCCCTCAATTTCAAACCTATTACCAAAGAGACAACCCGACAAAGAACTTTCGAGTTAAGTGTATGTGTAATATACATGTGTGTGCCCTCTTGGAAAACCACCACATCTGATTACATTCTGGTATTTATTGTCTAATTTAAAACATCTCACACATCATTCTCCAATTGCAGCAATGTTTCATCACTCCCACACAATGATTTTTTTTTTTTGTTTATTTGTCTAAAATGTATTACTAAGAGAATCCTAGCAACCATTTGATTGGTTACAGTGAATTGATTGGTTGTATCACACTGTTTGACAAGACATTGAGTTCTAAGTGATGTGCACATAAAAATGTACAAAGTTTGAAGAAATTTTAGGTGTGCAAAGAAAGAAAAAAATTTCCATAATGCATGCATAATAATAATAACAACTATTTTATCTCCATCTCTCATTCCTTAATTTTTGTTTATTGTTGAAAGAAACTTGAAAACTTGAAAACTGTCATGTCTTTTAACATTAAAATTAAGAATAAGGAACTCAATGAGGAAAAAAAAAAGGTAACTAATGGGAACCAGAATTAACCAATCAGTACCTCCATGTAACTTTTTTCCTTCACTATTTCATATGGCAGCTTCTTGATTTTAAGCTGGTAACATTTTCCTTTTAGTTTCCCACTGTCCTTTCCTTTCACTGTGACTTCAAATGATCTGTAATACAATGTATATTAGTTAACAATCAATTACTAATAGCACCTTTCAATGACATACAGTTTACAACTACAATTAATACTTTGTAAGCATGGTGAAAATTATTCTTTCAATGATTATATCAATGTTTTGTAGAAATTTTCTTGGTTTATGGCAAGTCTTAATGTCTCAGAAATAAACTTGCTTAGATACTGTCAATCTGTGTTTAACATTAATTGATGCAAAAAATGTACCTTTCTTCAAATGTTGCATCAACCACTGCATTTTCAGCCTTTTTGATAATTTTTATTCCCTTCAAGGTCCTGCTGGTTTTCAGATCCTTAGCACTGACAATCACATGGACAAATCCATCTTTCTTCTTCTCATCACACACTGAAATCATATGTATAATTAAGAAATAAGGTATCATTTTAAAAGTTTTATCGGGATGTAAATACAGGTTGGTCATGTGATCAAATCCCATAAAGCCCGAAGGGCTTTATGGTAGATTTGATCACATGCCAACCCGTATTTACATCCCAATAAAACTTTTAAATGATACCTTATTACTTATATTTACATTTGTGACTGATTTATAACAGATAGTAAGGTACTAAAGTTTTAAACCCATAAATGATTTATTTTTTTCAAAACTCAACGGTATAACTTGAATGTGTTGAACACGTCCATCACTTACGACGTCACTATGAAATTACGTAGATCGTTTATGACTAAACAATCAATTTATGGTCACATGACTAACGTGTTTTACACAGGTGTAAAAACGCCTTGTTCAAATAGTGTTATATAAGGGAAAACATTTGCAAATGTAAATATTCATACGTATATGCAGAAAGGACAGTCGAAAACCCTTGGCTCATGAAGGTGACCTACTGCGGGAGTTTGTTAGGAATATTTGCCATTTGCCTGAAATGTGGAGTTGTTATCATATGTGCAGACAGGACAGTAGTGTTCAAAATTTATTAAACTTTGCATAATTTATAATTTCAGTACCGGTAATTTGAACCTGGACATGTATAAATACAGTGTTGGATGCGTGGGTATACATATCGATCGAATGTATATAAAACCAATGCATGGTATAAGTAAACACACACTAGCTGACCATTTTATTAGCATGATAAAATGCCCCCCCCCCCCCCCCCCCAAAAAAAAGAACATCATTTTTTGCTTGCATGAATAAGGCTTACAGTAGGCTGGTTCCACCACAGTTTTAGCTGCTTCATCCCCCATTTTAAACAGTAAGTAATTGGATCCAGCTACTTCACCAAAGTGTACATAGTATCTGAAAACAAAACATCATTATTAGCTTGTTTATTTGAATGAGCTCAAAATTTATGCATTAAAGAGGTTTATGCCACATCTTCCTGGTTAGAATAAACTAAGTTTACCCACTCCCATGCTATTTGTCAAATAAACTTTTATATGTACAAAGTTCTATAACAAACCATTTAAGACCAAACTCATATCAATGAGTGTAAATAAATAATAATCTATAATAAATTGTGATATTACTGCAGATTTTCCAGTAGAAATAATATTGTTATTGTTTTTCTACTTACCTCCACTATGCTACGCAAAGGCAAGTAACTCTCGTTTTCACCCGCGTGTATTTATATCCAGGCAGTTTGGGACCGGATATCAAAATCTATAAAATCATCTAGTACAGAAAAAAATCTTTATTGACTTCTTTAGGGTCGTTAAAAATAAATTTAATGAGTGTAGAATTCCTTTTCTTGGAAACTCTACCACACAGATTGGAAATTGTAAAAATAATTACAACTACATGACTGTATTAATTTGCAAATATTCTAAGAAAATCTCATAAATATATTAATTATTTTTTCGGGGGGGGGGGGGATAAAAATAAGTAATAATAGATTACTAGGGATGGGTATCACCAAAAATTTCGTATCGCGATATATAACGATTTTTTCCCCAAAATATCACGATAATATCATGATATTTTTACAAGCAATTTTTACAATGATTTTAAATAAATATTCATAATTTTTCCGAAAAATATGCTGGAAAAACATAACTTCACTTTTTTCATTTTCTTATTTATATAATATCAAGCAATTTTGGGTGCTAGGATGCCTTTCTTTTACCGTTTTCAACATTTTTTACACTTCCTGTAATTGTAATTTGAAAGATTGAACAAATAAATGAATAATTTCTGGAATTTATAACTATGACCTAAATACCGGTATTTTAGTCTCCGTATCACAATACGTATCACGCAATTAAAAATCACGATATATCGGTATACCGATAAAATCGCACATCCCTATAGATTACATAGCTCATCTCAGCTAAACTTGGAAACATACTCTATCATACATAATGGAAATGGTCAAAATTTAGGTAGGTATCTTTCATCCCATAAGGCTAGATGAATTAATCCAGTATTAGATTTAGCCAAGGCTTGTTGGTCAAGTCGTTCAATAGAATTCTTGTGATAACTTGATCTTGGAAACTTCATTCTATCTAAACTATTAATTGGCGAGCATGTGGAGTAAAGGAAACATGCTAAACACCCAAACAAGCCAGAGTATTGGAGCCGATGCCATTATTATCACATTATACATTACAGGTTACATAACATTTGGCCATTCTCGAAAATTGCATCATTCATGTCCAGCAAAAACAGAAGGAACGAAGCTGATCAGGTCAACACTATCAGATAAACTACTGATTGGATGTTTATTTTCAATGCATGCACTATGTCCCTCTACCTTTAGAATTTTTATAAATCTACACATATTCATAACTAGCAGACGTTTGATTTATTCATAGTTTAAAAAAAATATCAAAGTGAAGGATAAATGTTGAATATTCTTTTGCTTTAAATTAATTGCAAAGATATTAGCTCATTTGAAACACGTTTATTATTTTTAATAAGATATTTCTTAATTATCAAAATTGTTCACCAATTGATGTTTAGATTTTTATGTGTTGTAACTTTTTCTTTCAAAAGCACTGGTTATATCTTTCTATTCATTAACAGGCCCGTTGGAATAAATTTCAGAAAATTTCAGTTTCGGGTGGACACAATCAAGGAAAAATTCCTTATCGGGCATAAAAAAATTATCCAAAGTTAATATTTACATAATTCAGGGGACACAAGCATAAAGTACCTATGTATAAATCCTCGAAATTATTGAGCTCACGGTCCCCGATCCCCCCCCCCCCCCCCGGTTCCTACGTCCATGAAAAAGAATTTAAAAATAATATAATGTATATAGAATCACGTCTCTGATAGAATAAACGCATGTCCAAGTTTCTGAATTGAACTTTTCTTGTTTCTTAGTGCTAATTCATTTCATGACTCAGAGTCATGTTGGTTACACTGGATTTAACTTTTCTTGATTTTTCGGGTAAAAATAAATTTGTTCAAGTCAGACAAGCTTTTTAGGAAAGCTAATACTTGTAGGGCTTTTATACTTGGGAATGGACCTGCTTCAGAAGCTTTATCTGGTCACCCACTTCAGAAGCTTTATCTGGTCAGTGGTCACCCATCAAGAAAACATATATATGGTCAGATCCAGCATCCAAAGCAAGTCTGATAATGTGCAAGATGCATCATCCATGCAAGTTTGGTCCAGGTAGGGATTATGAATTACACTAAAATGAACCTGGTCAAAAATCTTTAACCTTATCACTCATCCAGAAAATGTAGGTCAGATCCAGCAGTTGAAACAATTAAGGCTGTTATTGTGCATCCCTGGATGCATCATCCATGCAAGTTTAGTCACCTTAGGTCTTATGTGTACATGTAGTTACTTGGGAATGGATCAGCTCCTACTTTAACCTGTCTGTAAAATGTAGGTCAGATCCAACATCTGAATTAAGTTTGGTAGTGTGTATCACTAGATGCTAATCACACATGCAAGTTTTGTCACAAATTGGGCTTACAGATACTTTAGAATGAATCTGGTCTTAAAATATATACCTGCATGGTCAGTCATCTGGAAAATGTATGTCAGTTCAGCATTTGAAGCAAAGCTGATTGTGTGCATACAGTGAAACATACTAGATGCATCATCTATCCAACTCTGATAAATATAGGGCATGAAAATAATTGGCAATAAAATCTGCATGCTCCAAAAACTTTAAACTTGAATGCTGAGGTCAAAGCCAAGGGTAATACATAAGCTCCCCCAAATTTCTGAGGTGATCAAGCTAAATAGTATTTTTTTTTCTTGACAAGTTATTTGTTGTTGACAATTGTTACAAGGACATAAATTATTTTATGTCTCTGTTAATACTGTGTGGTTAAAAATACATGAACATAACACTTGTTTAAGGACCCTCTATACATTAGAAGAAAATATTTTTTGGACATTGAGAAAATTATAGTGTGTAAAGGTGTAAGCATTGAGCTGATCTATCATATTTTCAGCATAGGGTGCCTTGCATTTACCCACAGGAAAAATGTTCAAAGACAATGAAGTACTGATGAGCATAAATCACTGTTGTTTACTTAAGTAGGCAAAATACCTGCACATGAAGTGTTCTATCTATTCACCTTGGCCTATTAAAGTCTTATGAATGCTTGATTTGATCGCAAATTAAGTAATAAACTGTACATTTCAATTTATTTTATTTTTGATCAAAAGGCAGATCACTCTATTTGCATAAAAATACCACAAAATCAGAACTCTCTAGTGTGCAGTGTATAGAGGGCTCTTAATACAAAAGTGGATATACTGTAGACATACTCTTTTCCATTTGGGATTAATTTACGGACGATATGTACATGGTTACTATTTTTCTGTGTTTTTTTTTCCAGGGCGTACTTAAAATGCATTAAGGACAAGCAATGACAATCTAAGAAATTTTGTATTGTATAATGGACTTTTGAGCTTGAATACTGTTCGTTATCTCCATATATTTCATCTTTCCTACCTGCAGATTGAACAGAAATTGTGATTTGACAGAATTATGACCCCATGGAAGAAAGTACATTTATAGAAGCAATTTATGGAAAAAGAAAGTTTTTTGGTACCCATGGCAAAATTCTTAACAAATCCTTGTAAAAATTTGATGGTTATAAAGAACTCTGATGTAATGAATTTATGGATTGATGTAACATATTTATGAATATAGCAAACTGATTTTGTGTCATGTAGAGATTAAAAATATTGAAATTTACATCTTTTATATCTAATTTTCAAAGAATATTGAACTTAATGCATTATTTTTCGTAAGAATTTATATATGAAATCAATATATCAAAACCTAGTACTCTAAGCAGCAAGTTTTTTATTTAATACTTCCCTGAACATATTCGATAGTCATAGTTGTATATATTTTAACAAATTCCTTATATAGATATAAGGATTTACAGATATAGGGAAGTAAATTCAGAGGTCCCCAGGACTTTGCTATAACAGAGTTTTACTGCATATTAATAACCTATACATGTGTATTTAAGAAAGTTTTTGCTTTTTGTTCCCCAAATTCAGTAGCAGAGGTTTACATTTTTCAAACTGAAATATAAAACAAAAGCATTTGAAATTTTAATACACAAACAAACAAACAATACAATATACTTGTATACTGTAAATATCTCATTGACAACAACTACAAACATGTGACTCAGCACTCTCAAGGGAATCAAATTGCTTTTCACATAAACCACACATATACACAATATCCTGTGTGGCAGGTGCTTGGTACACACAGACTTTCTGGTTTAACACTTGATAAGCATCACTACAAGTCTGTTGATGGCGTTTCAGGGAATTTGATGTTGTGTATATTTTTCCACACTGACAGGCATATTTTTTTTCACCTGTATGCAAAATCATATGAGCTCTCAATTTGTCAGGATACCTAAATTTCTTTGCACAGAAATCACATTTCACTGGGTCATATGGTGCATGTGAAGCTTCATGTCTTTTTAATGCACTACTGTGTGCAAATTCTGCACTGCATACTGGTATTGAGCATTTGAAAGGTTTTTGACCTGTGTGAGTGTTCATATGTTCTGTCCATCCTGTCCGGTTGTGAAACTGTTTCAAACACAAACTACATTTGTAGGGAAGTTCCCTTTCAGTTACAGGTTTGTGAGTTTCCATGTGACTTTTCAATTTGCTCTGCTCGAAAAATTTAAAACCACAGAGGACACACTGGAACTTTTTCTCTTGGGTGTGTCTCTTTTTGTGTTGCTGTACATATCTTTTCTTTGCATATGTCTTCAAGCAAATATCACATGTAAAAAGATTGTGTTTTTCTTGATTGTGCTCTTCTAAATGAGAGAATGTTTGAAACTTTTCCTTACAATCTTTACACTGGAAATCTTTCACATCCTCTTCATCTTCTGTGTCCACCTGTTCTTCATTGTTAGGACTGCCTATACATTCATCACTCTGGTCATGTGACTCATCTTTAGCATCGTCGTCATTCTCTTTATGCTCATTATGGTCTACAAGAATATAAAATATATTAATCATCAAGATTACTGAGCTCACCTTAACTAATTTCATTTATAGAGTATTAACAAACTTTTTGTGATAGACATGCTTGATGCATCAAACATACAAACTTACCTAAACTACACATCCAGCTTAAAGTTACCGGTATTTTGAAAAATGATTTGCTCCAAAAACTTAAACTTGACATGCAGAGGAAACATACTCTCCTCAGCTTGTTGAGGTGAATTAAAAATAACGAGAAGTGTTACAGTATATGCAATATATACTTTAAACATCTGCCAAGCTGACTAAAATTAGATCCTTTGATCCACTCCACAGGAGGGTATCAAAGGTCTGGATCTAATTTTAATTAGATTGAATAAATGAAACATCTACTATCTGCGACTTCCCTGCAAATACATATCAAAGATATACAGGGCTGTCCCTAAGAATTAAAATAGCAGGGGACATTAAAAGAGTAGAAGGAGATCTGGGGTTCTTCTCCTAACAGGGAAGTGAGGAGGAATACCAAAGTAACCGGGGGATTAAGTCATTATAGGCGGAGTATTTCCCCAGCCCCCGGGTCTTAGGGACAACCCTGGATATAGTTCCTTTATTACAGTTATTCACATTTCTACACCTTTTAAATAAAGTATTGGTAGTTTATCAAATTAAAGATACAGTACATGTATGATATACATGTATAATGAAAATGATGTATCAGAGGGGACAAAATTCACATATTTTTTATTAAATGTAACAACAAAATTTTTTTTTCAACCCACCTTTATCACATGCAATTTTGTCTGGAATTTCACTCTCGTTACTGTGTATTGGTTCTGCATCTTTAAATTTAATGTCCTACGCAAAACAAGAAGACATGCATAAATTATTGTTGAATGGCTGAGTTACTGTAATTACATCTGGGTCACTCTTTTAAGTTCTTTTCCTAAACAGTCATTATATTGAAAAATAATTACTCCAATATTAATTATTTATGATTTATAAAAAAAAAAACCCTAAAACAAACTAAATTATAGGATTTCATGTAATGCACAAGAAAATGATCTAAAAGTTATTTTATCCTACTGTAACATAGTAACTCTTAATTTTTTTTTTTTAAGTATTCTGTGAGGTGAAGTTTAATTTAGACTGAAGGTATGAAGATAACTATGATGGTTTACTAAATAAGCTCTAGCTCTCTGGAGAGACTTCCAGCTTCCGTGAACTGTGTAACTGTCACTTTCCACCTGTTTTACCAATGTTATTCCTGACTGTTGAACAAATTTTTGTATTTCTTCTTCCTTCAGATCTGGAATTATCTTCACTTCAGCACTAAGCAAACCAAAAACCTGCATGAAAATTAAATGAATTAAATCATGCCATGTTTGATGACAAAAACAGATTCAGACTGAAAATTCAGATAATTAAACACAAATAAATAAATCTAAGCTTTGTTAATGGTGTTCACGGTCTGCAAATAAACAGTTTATATTAATCCTTAAACTTCTTCAAGATGATGACTAAACTGGACAGAATGTGTTTATTTCAATTCCATGCTCCTATGAAGATACAAATTCCAACCCATAATGAAAAAGAAACACCAATGCCCCCATATGGCAGATTATGGCAAATGTTAAAGTTTCTCAAATGCAAGTCAAACTCTAAGATCAAAGCCAAGAGATCAAAAATGTTGGTACCCAAAGAAAGGTCTTGTCTCAAGGAATATACACTTTAAATTTGTGAACAGTGGCAAAATTACCATTGTTGAACTCTAAGGATAGGTTTTCGTTTAAATCAGAAATGCATGTAATTTGGTATTGATAGGCCACTTATTACTTAATCTAATTGAATGCTCATTAAACTTAACACGAGCTGCACTGATCAATCACCTTCCAAACCTCTATTGTTTAACATAAGATCCATTAATATAATGTACGTTTGGTTGAAACCCTTAAGGCAAACAGGGAATCAAGGCATAACCACTCTTACTTTAGGCAAACAGGGAATTTGACTCTGAGCAAAACCACTACTATTTGCAAAAACGATATGCTCAAATTTTGTTTAAGAAAGACTCGCAAAACAACAATGTAATTCTTGTATAGAGAGGGTATTTATAGGCATTGCCTGTTGCCCAATCTATTCATTATTTTGAATAAATATTGTTTAAATCAACAATGTAATTAGCAATCTAATTATCACAAAACGACAGTTTTCACTGGTACACAGGCCCGAACCATCTTGGGGTGAAACAGAATCGGCACGAAACATCCCGGCTTCATCATATATATGCTCCTCTGCAGAAATATCATTTCACAATGTCAAACAGTTAAACTTAATATATTGGGAAACACACTGTAAACCAACACACCTTATCCGTTTGTATCTCCAAATCTATTTCTGCTTTAGTATACATTTTCACACCAAACAGTGCAAACTTTGTTTTCTGTTAGAAACTGATACTTCCGGTGTGTACGGTTCAGGTCATCTCGTCCTAAAAAGAATTCGAGCATTTTTTTTTTCGGCGTATGCTCAATAGTGATGAATAATATATTGGTTTTTTGTCTTTGATTGTCATTTTTATGCACTATCTATTTACCTTAATTATGCATATTTTACCAATATTGTCTGAAAGAAAAAAATGCATATATCTCAATAAGTTAATAACCTTTTCTATATATTAATATCCCATTAAAGTACTTTAATAATTCCATAACTTTGTTTCAGTATTTTCACTTTAACTTTTTATGCCCCCGGATCGAAAGATCCGGGGGTATATTGTTTTTGTCCTGTCTGTCTGTTTGTCCGTTTGTCTGTCTGTCTGTTGTCAACTTTAACCTTGGCCATAACTTTTGATTGGCTGGAGCTATGACTTTCATATTTCACATGTGTATTCCTTGTGACAAGACCTTTCCTTGGGTACCATCATATTTGACCTTTTGACCTTGACCTTGGAGTTTGACCCACTTTTGCAAAATTTTATGAAACTTTAACCTTCCATAACTTCTGAACAGTTGGTGCTTGGGGTTTTAAACTTCACATGTGTATTCTTTGTGACAAGGCCTTCCTTTGGATACCAACAACTTTGACCTTTTGACCTTGACCTTGGAGTTTGACCTACTTTTGAAAAACTTTAACCTTGGCCATAACCTTTGAACAGTTGGTGCTTAGGGTTTCAAACTTCACATGTGTATTCCTTGTGACAAGACCTTCCTTTGGATACCAACCACTTTGACCCTTTGATCTTGACCTAGGAGTTTGACCTACTTTTGAAAAACTTTAACCTTGGCCATAACTTTTGAATGGTTGGTGCTAGGGCTTTCATACTTCACATATGTAATCCTTGTGACAAGATCTTCCTTTGGATACCAACCACTTTGACCTTGACCTTGACGTTTGACTTTTATTTAAAAAACTTTAACCTTCGCCATAACTTTTGAACAGTTGTATCTAGGTCTTTCAAATTTCACAGGTGTATTCCTCGAGACAAGACCTTTCTTTGGGTATCAACATTTTTTATCTTTTGGCCTGGATTTTGACTTGCATTTGAAGAAACTTTAACCTTCGCCATAAGCTGCCATACGGGGGCATCAGTGTTTCACAAACACATCTTGTTTTCTTTAGTTTAAAACATACATACTGATATTGATAATTATGTCTCCTTTCAGACTTTGATTTTTAAGGGTTCTTTGGTAGAAATCATCTCTCACTTTTTGAGATTAAACTGGTGTCATGTTAAGGCCACTGGCTTTCTTACCCTTAGGGCGAGGGAACAAAAACACATGGGTCAATAACTTTGAGGGAACAAGGACAACAAAAGAGAGTTCAAGAAGTGAAGAATGCCTTAACAAAGCAAGAGAATGATAGTGCCAAAGTGAGAACTCGAGGGAATAAATCAGCTAGAGAACAGGGATGTGAGGTCGGCAATTTTCAGTGACTGTGGAATCATTAGATTTCGTGGTGACTCAATATTCATGGAATTTGTGGGTACCCTGCATCCACAAATGCACATCCTCAATGAATTAATGCTTTGGGTGTTGAGCCATCTTTCCTTTTGTAGATATGAGTGAATGCACAAAATTACATCCCCTTGAACCTGTAAAATTTAGGCAATCCACGAAAATTGGCCCCCACAAATTTAATGATTCCATAGTAGCTGTTGTAATTGAAGTCTCACTCCCTCTCTTTGTTGTCCTTATTCTCTCCCATTGTTTCCAAACATTCTCAAACCCTTGTGTTCTCACTTTTCCATTAGGACAATGAACCTTTTTTTTTTTTTACAAGGAAACAAGTGACCTTCTCAGTACACCAGTTACAGTATTTTATAAAACAGAAATTGGAAATTGCTCCTCTTTATTCAGTTTTTAATAATTTTATCCAGATGTTAACAATATAAATATTTCATTATAAATAAGTACTCTAACATGTATCAACATTTATCTAAGTTTACTTGCAGATGAATTCTAGTCAGATTCATGAATTGGTTCAACATTAACAGAAGCATCTTCAGTTTTTGTTGCTGCATTTGTTTTATCCACTTCAATTAAGATCTCAGTACTTTTACAGTTTGTATCTGAGGATTTCTCATTTACACACTCTATAACTGATGGATCTTCTGCTTCAGTCTCCTTTATCCCACTGCATTGTGTATCAACAGTTTCTTGCTCTTCTTTTGTATTTTCTTCACAAACTTGAGTTTTATTTTGCTCTGTAGCCTGATTATTGTCACCTTTATCATCTACACCATCTACATTTTCATCCTTGCTTAAATCTTCTGAATTCTCTTTGCTTTCAACACTTTTCTTCACTATTTCCTGCAAATTGTACTTCCTGAATTTGAAGAAGTCTTTAACGATGCCTATACAACACACAGACTGAATGACTTCAACCAGGATAACAAAATCTGGGTGGTCATGACTGACTCGGTGCAGTGGATTTAGTTCCTTAACGATACCAGCCAAGGCGGGAATGACTGAATCCCGCCCAAGGCCATTATTGTTTCTGACTTTCACAGTTATACTAAAAGAATATCCCTTTCCATACGGAGTCTCAAAGATTGGAGTAAACAATTCTTTCCCAAGTTTTTTAACATCAGCTTCTTCTGCTCTGCAACTTCCAGATATGGGAAGAAGACGGATTGCGTACCTAGATTTCTGGACCTTTGTTTCTGACAGATCGGACAATATGGAGTGAGCCAGCTGACTAGGGTCTGACAAGGTGGTCCTGATGAAGATGCAGTTCTTGGCTTTTGTGTTGGTGTTTTGGAATCTTCTCTGTGTAAGCTTTTTCTCTTTGATTTCATTTACTTCTTTCATCATGGCTTTCTCTATGTCTTCCTCTTCTACATCTTCTTCTGATGAGTCTTCCTCATTCCTCATGTCTGTTATCTCCTAAGTAAACCAACAAAAATATAATTGAAGTGAAAATTTACTACTAAATGCATTATACTCCGTAAATTTGTATATGAAATTTTTCTGATATTTTAGAGAATATATTTACAAGATTAAGTTAAAACATTACCTTCTCTGGGCCGTAAAGTTTGTCAGCATATTCATTAAGAATATTGTAGGCCTCTCTGACAGCAGCTTTCTCGTTGTTATTACATGTGATAAGGAAACCTTTCATGCCAGCCTCCAGTTTCCACACCTCTCTCTTTGGCTTTTTGTTGGCACATTTTATGTAGTATGATTTTGGTCGTTTCTTTCCCTTTTTCTCACTCATTCTTGCAATGTTTAACCACTTCTAGATATATAGTTCTGAAAGAGAATTTGAAAAAAAAAATCAGCTCAATAAAAAATTCAAAAAGTTTTCTCTGGTGTTTATACATGTTCTTCAGATTGTAGACTGCTAATGTGTCAGATTAAAAATACCTATGTATGTTTAAATTTTTTATATCAATCAGCATAACGTATGCATTATGCATTGGTACATGTATAAGCATCTACAGGTATTATTTTCTTTAGAGAAGTGGACAAGCCTACTTTCATGTAAGCAAAAGCCTGTCTACCTTTCTAAAGAGAATAATACAAGTATGTCAGTATGGACAGGGTACTGGCTTATTCTCTTTAGAGAACTGGATAGGCTTTAGGTACCATGGGTACTGGCTATGTCTGTTCATTTCTCTAAAGAGCTAGAATGCCATGGGTACCACATGCACTTTCAAGCTTAATTGCAATATATGTATTATACCATATATGCTGGTAATTAATAAATATTTTTATTAACAACTAAGCTCAGAAATGTCTATGGAGAACAGAAAGCCCTTGTAGTTGTAGTTTAACGATATGTCCTGTGGCTAGTGCTTTGTGATGCAACAGTAGAATAATAATTTTTCGAAGCAAGTATGTAATTTAAAATATTATTATATTAAATAGAATATTATTAAATAGAATATTATTAAATACTTTACCCCTTTTATATTAAACATAGAAGCACCGTGACTTAAGCTCACTAAAGTTACTTCTCTCCGATCCCATGATCATACATGGGCGCTGCCATATTGAAACGAGAGACTAAAAGTGGTACCAACTACGGTGTTATCATTATCGGAATTACAGTGAAGAAAATATTTGCAGTGTACACTTTATGAGAAGTAACATTTTGCAGCAAATCCATCTACTAGTATTTTTAGAAAATGATTTCAAAATCCTAATAATAATAAAAAAACTTGAATGTTAAATAATTTGACACACATGTATTTCAAGCGCCAATTTAGTAATTTTGAGGGTTTTTTTCCCTGGTATCTTCTTCTTCCCCATTATTGAATGCAGCATACCTTCAAAGTAAGCTTAATGCTAATACATGTAAATCGCAGTCATGGTATGGTATAGTATGTAAATTTCTTCAAATTGCTGGGTTAAACCATATTATTACCATAAATAAACCCTTATGTTCAAGAAAAAATGCAAAGAATTATTATATAATCATTACACAAATGAATGGTACAATATGAGAAATTTACAAAAAGGAAAACTTGAAACTTACATAAAATTTAAAACTAATTTGGTTTTTGAAAATTACCTAGCACTGTTATCACCTGAACAACGCAAAGTACTTACAAGGTTGCGGACATCAGCACATAATTTACCAATAGAACGAGGTCGTTACTTAAGGATTCCCAGACAACTAAGAACTTGTACAAATTGTTCTTCTCACCAAGTTGGAGATGAAATTCATTTACTCTTTGAAAGCCCAAACTATAATTTACTTAGGCAATATATGTATGAAAGTATAGAACAACATTGTAAACAAATTTTACTTCTTGATAACATGAACAAATTAATATGGATATTGAATTGTGAAAATTATGATGTTCTTAAATCCCTTTGTGAATTGATTAAGGGAGAAATATAATGTGTCTTCTACATGTATATAGAATTTAAAAACTGTATACTTTTAACACTCAATAAATGTTAGTTTGGTCATAAGATATGCAAACATGGTGACTTATAAAGTACCAATGCACTTTTGCAATTTAGTGGAATATATCTATTCAGTATATATTTTTGTATTATGTATATCTCTGGCTTTTTTGCATTATGGTACACGGTGGTACTTGTTTATACTTTACAATGTGTATTTCAAATTGTACATGTTAGCAATTATATCAACTTATGAACCATGAGTAAATTGAATAAGTATATGTATTAAGAAAATGCTGAATATTACTATTATCATATTTTGTGAATAATTATTATATTTATATGTTCTGTTTAATAATCATGTATGTAATATGCTCAAAAGGGCCCCGATTTGGAGAAATAAATAAATATAATATATAGGTATCAAAAAGAAGAATTTTTGATATTTGATATTAAAAAAAAATCAATATTTTTTTCATATAAAAAATAATATTTGGCATATAAAATGATATCAAGGAATCAATTTTTTTTTTACACATAAGTGCAATTACACTGCTGACAAAATTTCAGACTTCAAAGTCCTGAAGCCTCCAAATTCAATAGTTTGAAATAGAGTTTTCAGATTGAAATCATACATTACTATACTTTATCCTTATTTCGCCAAACTGTAACAAATGCAACAAAAAGTATGTGTGTTGGGGGGAGGGGGTGGCAACCGGCCCTTCAATGAACATTTTCAATAGTAAAAAGTAATGTTTGGAGAAAAAGTGGGGGACCACCCCCTCCCCACCCACCCCGATACATTATTAAAAAAAAAAATTCGCAGCATTTATTTACGAACTATATATATGGACAACCCTCGTGTATTTAGAATTACATCGTTCGTTTACTTTTTAAATGTTGCTAGCAAATAATGGACTTTTTGAGAATTTCTTGAATTTCCATTTTTTCTGTGAATCAAATTTTTTTGGTTTCTGAAGAATCATCAATTGAACTTTGCCCCGAATCTATGGACTCGGCATTTGCCTTGTGACTCTGATCTATATATTTCCTATTTAAATCTATACCGAAAAAGTCTAACATTTACAATATTTTACTGAGCGGTCTACAAAAAATGTCGATGTCGGACCGCTTCATCTCAAGTGAAATATTGGACCTAAGGATGAGATATTGGACGTTTTTTACGTCACAGTGTAGGCGTGATCAGCCATATCGCAAACATGGAATTCAGCGCAAAATATGTCAAAATAAAAAGTAAAACATATAACAAAACATTTATAGACTATGTTCTCAGGCAAAATGCGTTATGTCGACCTCTCCGACCAATCTGTTTGACTAACGGCCTAGGGCAAGCAGTTTGGTTATTGGGTTCGACAAAATGCATGTTGCCCTCGAACCCAGTCAATAAATATATGGCGTTGCCCATTAATATCATGACTGATTCAACCTGATCATTAGAATTCTGATCTGTATTTTGCCCTTAATTTGTTTCTTCTAAATTTTCATCGTCTGATTTAACATTTTGCCCTGGTAAATCTAAATCTTCATAATTTTATCTACAATTTTCTGGATCATGACAAGGTTTTAAATTTGAATGATTTATCATCGAATCATGAGGTTTGTTGTCTGCACAACGTCTAAGCTTTTGTGTAAATTGGACCTACCTCAACAAATCTGTATGGCCCTTCAGATTTGTCAAATAATTTGCTGGATGAACGTTTTGGAACCTTACTGACTTAACCAAAGCCCTATAGTCTAACTGAAAATTTGGAATATTTGTATCTAAATCATGTCTGATTTTATTCTGTTCTTGGTGCCACTTCAGATTTTCTTTTGCAATTTTGTCACGAACTTTGAGATTTTCTAAAAATTCTTTGATGTAAGCTAAAAATTGCATCCCTACACATATTTTCTATGGGCTCGTAGGCTACATATCATATGGTAGGTTCATTACCTTCAAAAACAAGAAATAGAAAGGTGAAATTCAGTTGAATATATTGAGGGGGGCTTACGGTATGCATTAAAACTCTGGCCTTTTATTTTGGGCACTGCTACAGTACGCTCTTTTAGTGATTGTGCCAAGGTACTATTTTGTCTTTCAACTAGCCGTTGGTTTTAGGATGAAAAGCAGAAGTATGGTGCTGGGTAATATCGAAAATCTCGCAGAAGGCATTTACTTATTCTTCATCTATCCGAAAACAATACATTGAAGCTCCACATCGTGAGATTTCTCCAAAGAAAAAAAAACTTTTGCAGTTTCTTCTGCTCTCTGAAAGTCATCATGTTGAAGATTTTATTTAAGAAATAAAATATGTCAGAAAGGATACTTTTGGCAAGCAAATAAGGACATTGCTTACAAATATCTTAGACTTTAGGGATATTTTTATTATTCTGACCACAACCCCCCCCCCCACCTCCGGTGACCACGCTTATGTTGTAGTCGTGTATCAAGTTTGAAAAAATCTGCCTTTAACTGCATGTAGCAGAATAGCGTATTGAAGAATTTTACAAAAATCATATTTTTAATAAATAACCATGACAACACCTTAGATTTTTATATATTACGAAATAGTCTACTTGTGTACCAAGTTGAAATTAAAATGTATTAATTAAAGCTGAACGTAGCATTTTGAAATACATGTATTGATTACAGACAAAAGGACAGGTATACAGAGGGACGAGGGACTCCCTACCAAAGTTTATGCTCTTTTGATCTTCAAACAGTCGAACTAATGAATACACAGAATATTTAAGAACCACACATTGTTCGAAACCATGGAGACCTGACCCTAATGGTACCATTTCTTTATTCTGACAGCAAGACAAAGATTAACCAACAAAGTAGAGCAGTTTCTTCCAAAATTTATTATATGGAACAAAAACACAAACACAACAGCTAGAGTGTCTATATACAAGGGTTATCAGTCAATCGTCGGATGCTCCATAAACATGGGAATTCCCCTCCATTGTTGTGTGAACTGTGGTCACGGCTGATTTACCTCCCAAGGTCATGACTCTGTTCCTCATGGACCCCGGACCAACTGTCGAATTCCCCATATCTGAAATCATACATACCGGGTGTCAAAATATATAGAAAAGGTCCGTATTACTTACTTGAATTACTTGAATGGAAAAAAACCCAAACATCTATAGCTAAAGTAAGACCCTGCAATTTTATAATTTTGTTAATTGCAAATAAGTGTGTCAAATATATTTTCAAACGCTTAAAATCAATTTTCATTTTTTTAAAAAATATTTTCTCGTTTGAAATAATATTTTTGTTTTCAAACTTCATATTATCATACAATTGTACTCGTTCCCATTTTGTGAATGTAAATCGATGTAAATCATAAATCATAAAATCATATAGATAAGAAGAATGTAAATCGATATTTGTCATTTGACATCTGAAACAAGACTTCAAAACGTTTCACTTCGTCGTGCATTATGCTCGCGCTATCAAGTTTGTCGTATCGTAAGTCCATTAATTAAGATGAATTTGCCTCTCATCAGCTCATGATTATCAAGGTAAACGTTAAAATACGTATTCTAAATTATTTTTCATATCTTCTAGTAACTACTTTCTTTAGATGATTACTGACCACTATGCATACAATAAAACCTTTATAGAAAAGAAATCAAAAAAACAAAGCAACCCTTTAAAAGTGCCAATTTTATTTCCAGAGAAGTAGATGCCATTATCCGAATGTTACAAGGAAAACCTTAATTGTGCATAAATACTTTCGGTGCTTTTTTTTAATTAAATATATATGTTGCTTGCATAATATGCTGAATAAAATATCCTTAGCATACACTGAGACCACAGCAAGACATGCAGTACTGAAATTTATACCAACACTTCCTGCACACAAACTAAAATCCTCCACACATACTAAAATGCAGAAATAGCATTCCCCCTACAGTGTATTGGGGATTTAATATCGGATCTTTCCGACTACTGGCTGTTTTTCTGAGTTTACCGGGAAAGCTCGAGAAACTGCAAAGGGAATATAATGAGAAAACTTTAATTCACCTGAGTGTATTCGGTTTTTCTTCTTCCAAATACGGCATCTGAAGACATCTAAAAACCCACGCCTGAAATTCTCATTGAACCCTGCATACATGATTGGATTGAGCGCACTGTTACTGTAGGCGATATAAAGAGCTGCGTACTTCAGAGCAACGATGTACTCAGGTCTCTGAAACATAATGAATAGTATGAAACATAATGAGAGTAATGAAAGAGAGAGAGAGAGAAATTAAGAGAGCGAGAGAGAAATTAAGAGAGAGAAAGAAAAGGAGAAAAAAATTGAGAGAGAGACCTGTTCATCTGCTACAGGTGGAAAGTAGGCGTCGTAGATAAGGAAGGCCCACTGTGGGGTCCAGCAGATCACAAAAGAAACAAGGACCACGATTAACATACGGATAACCTGAAAAACAGAACAATATGAAAATGTTTTCAATGTAAGTAAACCAAATTTACATCACCATCACAGCAATTTCATACTTGTAATATGATAATGAATAAAAATGTAACCCCCCCCCCCCAAAAAAAAAAAAAGAAACCGCGAGGCTAACATGTTATGATAGTTTTCAGTAGTCTATCTGTCACAAAATCGTATCCAGCCCTAACGTAATCCCTCGTTTAAAATGGGTTTAAATTTTAGGTTTATGTTGTCCATGACCATGTTGTCCATGACCTTAAAAGGCGTGACCTGATTTAAACTTAAGTCATATCTCATAGATGCGATATTGTAAAATCGTGTTTTACTCTACTAGTAGCTATAACTCTGGAACCTTTCACTGGAATATAATCGAATTCGATAATGCTGTATCGTTCGATAAATTAAGGTTACCTTATGGTGTGACATGCTCAATATATCTTAAAGATCAAGGTAATTGGGCAAAGAGTAAAATAATGTCCTGGTCATAGCTTGACTGGATAGAATTTGAACTAGAGTATACAGAAACGTGTCGTGATTCAAGGTCAAAGTCGTCTTTCAAGGTCATTCATAGATGACCAAGTGTATAACTGAGGTAGAGGTAGACATCCGTTTTTTGTTAAGAATAGTATCTGAATTCTGTTTGTAAAAGTAAATGAATACGATGTTAAAAGGTCATTTTTATTTCTTTGAACAATGAGTGCAGGCCCGTAGGAAGCAATTTCAGTTGGGGGGGGGGGCACAGTTATACATTTTCAGTTGCGGGGACACTATCAATTATCAAAATTCCTTGACGAGCAAAAAAAAAAAAAAAAAAAAAAAAAAAAAGGTCATCAGACATTTTAATTGAGGGGGCACAAGCATATAGTAGCTATGTTTTCTATGTGCCTCCCCGGTTGCTACGGCCATGGAGTGCCTAAAACGTGTACCTTTTTCCTGGCTTTGTCTATAGATGATGTTGCTTTGCCCCCTGGACCTTTACGGTTGACAAGGGTGATACTGATGATAGTGTAGGTAATTCCCATAACCAAAATAGGTATGACGTACATAATGATGAAGGTCAAGGTGTAATACAGCTTCTTTCCCGGTTCTTCTGTCTCGCATGTTCTGTACAATTAAAAATCATATCTTAAGGTAAATGATCTAGTAAATGAAAGATGTCCACATGTTTCTCAAATTCAAAAATAAATTCCGTTATGAATTCTTAACAACTTTCACTATCTTGGTCTAATTAGGTATGTCAGGTCTGTATTAGCGAACCTCAATGAAAATCGTATTTTTTTACTGTCATTTCCGTTTTATACCATCATTTCAAGAATATTGTAGCGGTCGCGGAGCAAAGTGGTAGGGTGCTCGCTTCCGGGTTCGATTCCGATTCTCGTACTCGGCATCGCGTCAAACCAAGACGTATAATAACAAGTTAGTGACTATTCCTTCGCTAAGCGCCCTGTATTAGAAGCGGGTCACGGGTCTTTAGGAACGTAGGTCCAGTATCACGGTAGGCGCTGGCGCAGCAAAGAACCCTTACTACTCAACGGTCCTGAGTGCCAAGTAAAGGTAAAAATTTGAAGCCCCTCACCAGTATTTGGTGTTATGAGTTATATGTAAAAAAAAATCTCGAAAGGGAAGTAAAACAACAAACAAATGACAGAAAACTGTCACACGGTCAATAGTCCGAAATATCTGACGTTTTCCAGGCATTTTTCACGATTTTAATATTTTACGTGAAAGGAACGTAAAATATCAAAATCGTGAAAACGCCTGGAAAACGTCAGATACCGTAAAACTCGTTATAACGAAGTCACTGAGATCTGTGAAATTACTTCACTATATCCGTAATTCGTTATATCGGTTTAAGGAATTCCTAAAATTTAAATAGCCGGGGATCCAAAAAACTTCGTTATATCAGTGAATTTGTAATATCCGTGTTCGTACTAAACCAGTTTTACTGTATTTCGGACTACACGGCCAAAAGAGTTCTCGTCCCACTGAAAAAAAGATTCGATTTTCTTTTGTTTGTGGCTCCACCATTTACAACAACTCAAAGAATGTTAACAGCAAAAAAAGTAAAGGTTATGCAAGTGCAAGACCTGTCCTTATGTACATGTCTCAGGCCAGTAATCAATACTTTAGATCATGCAATGAAATGACAAATGCCGATCCCGAATGGCAGTCATAGTAGCCCCGCAGGAAAATGATGCACAGATGATAATTAAAAAATATAATATTGAAATTCTGTTACATTGATTTCATGAAAATGTTTATAGATGGTAAATAGCCTATAGTAAAGACCATCAATAATATTTGTCTAAATTTGCACAGAGACTTGATAATTGAAGCAATAAGCAGATGAATATTTTAACAAATTCTGTAACTTGAGCGCAGCAAGCTCCACTGAACATAAATCACATGACATTTCGAACTTAGAATCAATTCATTGTCACCGCAAACAGCAATCCAGTACTTATTAGTGCAATCTATATTCGTTAAACGTCATTTCAAATGCCACCGAGTTACGTCATTAATTAATCATTGACATGTAGCATCAATATTCATCATACCGAGTGCTGCTAGATATAATCCAAAAACTAGAGGTACTGTGAGCACTGAGCTCACAAAATGATATCCCGATTCCAAAAGAGTATAATGGCAAAGTCCAAGTATCCCAAATATCTGTCCAATCAGAACATTCAATAGAAGGTGCACAATGGCACTATGTAAGAAATATTCTGTGAAAATCTCATTAAATTTTATCATTTGAATAGCAAATCCCTATATTATAGGAAAAAAATGCCAGTGTTCGTTTTGCTATGGGAAACCCCAAATGAGTATTCCCAGTATTATAGAAAGAATGCCAGTGTCCATGTTTTACTATACCAATCCGTAAATATCTGTCCGATCGAAACGTAAAATTGGAGGTGCACAAAGCCACTATTTTATAAAGATTTAGTGAAAGTTTCATTCAATTTTATTCAGTGGTATATAGGAGTTGCGAATAAAAGTTGGGTACCCCCAAAATTATGGAAAGAATGGAAGTGTCCATGTAACCCAAAATATCTGTCTGATCAAAAAGTAAAACTAGGGGTACTGTGAGCACTAAGCTCACAAAATGATAACACCCCCCCCCCCCCCCCGCTCCCATACAAGCATAATATGACAAAGTCCATCTTTCGCTGTGGGAAACCCCAAATATCTGTCCGATCAGAACTATGCTAAACAGATTCCGTGAAAGTCTCGTTAAATTTTATCCATTGGTATAGGAGGAGTTGCGGTTAAGAGATAGGTACCCCCAATTTTATTTAAAGAATGGCGGCGTCTACGTTTTGCTAAGGTAAATCCCAAATATCTGTCTGATAAAAATGAAAAATAGGAGGTGTTCAATTAATGGTACTATATAATAAAGATTTTGTGACAGTCTCATTAAAGGTGTAGAAGGAGTTGCGGATAAAATTAAGATGGCTACCCCCTGCTTTTTGGAAAGAATGTTACTTAGTGTCAATGTTTTGCTGTGGGAAACCCATATATCTGTCTGACCGAAAAATAAAATAGGATATGCACCATTAAAGATTCTTTGAAAGTCTCATTAATTAAATTTTGTTCAGTGGAATAGGAGGAATTGCGGATAAAAGATGGGAATGCCCAAGTGTTACCGACGTACGGATGGACACACATCACAGAAGGACGGACACACCATCACTCGCTTTTCAAGCGGGGGGATTATAATTAGGGGTAACACAATGCCACAATTTAATAAAGATTTGGTTAAAGTTTCATTAAATTTTGCATTCAGTGGTGTAAAAGAGGTTGCAGATAAGGGTTGGCTACCCCTTAGTTTTTCGCCGGAGGTACAGACGGAACACGGACACATCACTATCACTATATACCCCCCCCCCCCTCCACACACACACATACTTTTCAAGCAGTGTATAAAATATTCACGTTAAACATTTTTGTATGATCTCTGCTTTCGTTTATCAAGTTATGCTGATATGTCAATACCAACAGAGATAATTCGGCGTGCCATACAGTATCATACTAACAGAAAAGTAATCGTTAGTCTTTTAGATCAATTGTCCTTTGTATCTCTTATGAAAGCACTAAAGAAATCCGCATCACGCAACTGTTTTGCACCTAAGTGACATATCTCCAGATCATTTGTGTGGAGATGTAGGGCTATGAATTGAACTTTTATTTGATAGATTTTCTACACATATTTTTAATTCAACTTCAAATCTTTATTTTCAAAATTGAAATTACGGGGCTGCAGTTCTTTCAGTGAATTCGACATTTAAATGAGCAAACTTTTGGTACTTTTTGAAATTACTAGTGGTTAGTAAATTGTGATATTGTAAAATTAGAGATTCACTGCATTCTATTAATCTTACTTTACCCATTCGGGTGGAAAATTATTTCGCCTAAAAAAATTAATGAAAAAAAAAATTCGCCTCAACTAAATTGCTTTCTCTACGAAATCATATATGCATCAGTCATGTACATATACACTGTAGATTGGATATAGAAAAGGGAGGGGGATATATCAGAAACTGTTGATATTTACAACAAGCATTCTGAGAGTATTGCATTAGCAATACTAGTCCCCTACCGGCAAGTGTAATCTGGTTCCCGTTAAGAATTGAAAATGCCATAATTCCGTCAAAAATCAATGAAGCGGGACGAAACTTGATCTATAACTAATCAAGGTAAAGTCACATACCAAAAATCAGCTCAATATCTGAAAGCGTTTATAAGAAAATTGCGGAAAACCCTTAAAAATTGAAAAGGCCGTAATTCCGTCAAAAATCAATGAAGCGGAACGAAATGCAAACTTGGTCTGTAACTCATCAAGATATACTCACATACCAAAAATCAGCCCAATATCTGCAAGCGTTTAGGAAAAAAGTGCGGAAAACCAAGTGGGACAGACTGACAGACAGACAGAGAGACAGACAGACAGACGGACGGACAGACTCAGAGGAAACCTATAGTCCCCTCCGGTTTCACCGGTAGAGGACTAATAATATAAATTGAGATGGAAAACTGACAAATTATAGGGGACGTATACCGCATAACAGGCATTTTCTGCGGTTGTCCAATTTTTGCGGAATTTTGTGGATAAGACAAAACAAGAAAAGTTACAATCTATCATGTACTACCCTGAAATTATGACTTACAATCTACGAAATAAGGTATATACATGTGCACATTTTAAGAATTATAGAGTTGGAATTTTGAACCTGTTGCTTTGCAATATATATTTCTAGATAACTTGTTTAAGCATTTGAAATATTTGAATAAATACTAGATCGAAGTTTATACTATTCAGTACAAAATGGTTCTTACCCATTCCCGCTCGATTCAGTGTAGTATGATGGCCATTTTTCTTTGCATTGTATTCGTAAAAAATCTGAGAATTGCATCTCGATCTGTTTCTTCACCAATAAATAAGGAAAGGCTGTCCCAACTGAAACAATCCACGAACAGGAGATAGCCACCATCGCCGCCCTGTGGGACATCTTTCTGCGGAGGGGGAATACTATAGCCTGAAATCTCTCCAGGGAAATGATGGTCAGCGTCAACACACTAGAAGTCAAGGCAGTCACTGGGAGAAAATGAAAAGAATTCAATAGAATGAAAGCGTCATTGTAGCAAGATTGATAGATGCTATTTGAAGGAAGACGACTTCCACACACGAACACATACATCGAGTTGTATCCTCCACTATGACCCAGAATAAGTGACCTTGAGATTTTGAAACTTAAAATAGACCTTGCACATTATTTGGTCATGAATAACCAGATACTAAACTTAGAAGTTATTCAAAAATGAAGGATTAAAATTGTTAAAACTGTACACAACTTGTACCACAATAATCAGTGTCGATTACTACTACAGAGGCACCATCAGGCAAACGATAATAAAATAAACTGTTAAATTTGTATTTTTTTAAAAATCCTCTGTAAGTTATTTTCTTTAGCAAATCCGAGCTATTATTGAAAGAACAAAAAACTCTAGCTGTATCCATGATGTTGAAAAACATTGTGCTTTGATTAGAAAGTTCTATCTCCCTTGTTGCTTTAATATGGTCAGATCTATCTGGAAGTGTTCCAGAACTCCCTAGGCATTTGTATTATGAAATCAACATAACTGAACTACCATAACAGCATCTTTTGGATCCTTTAAAAAAAGGGACACGCCCTTCTAGAGGAAAGAACATTTTTGCCATGGTTTGATTTATTGTTTGCAGTTTAACGTCCCTTGCATTGTTAGAATATATATTAATATAATGTTGCCATATTTTAAAAAAACCCAAAACAAACAAAACGGCATGCTATGATTCACAGGATAGAATTAAGGTATCAAGACCCTGAACTCTGAAACACCACCTTAGGTAAAGGTCATGACAGATCACATAATTAAACACAGATGCTGTTCAAATTACGACTTGCAAGTCTTTCACTTACTTACTTTCAAAATGGTAAACATTTCAATAGTATGTAAGTGACAGACCTACACTGTCAACAATTCCAATGACCTTTGAGATCGACATTTGATCCGGGTCATGAACCTACTGTATGTATTCTACAAGGGTGTCCTACAATAACGGTTGCATTTTATTTTCGGAATTTTTTAAAATATTAAAATTTTAATTTCCGACATTTAATTTTACAGTTTTCATCTCCGACATTTATTATATAGTACATGTACTTTTCCGACAATGAAACAGAATTGTAGACTTCCCTTATAAAATCAAGAATGAATCATTGATATCCAAATAATAAGTTTTGCTTAGCTTTTAAAGAAGCAGATGAAGATTTTATACCCCGAGGCACATGGAAGCGTTTGAACTTTCGCTCCTTTTCAAAGATATTCAGTTTGAGATTGTAATGTTTTTATTCGGAATAAATGTAATATTTATAACCTGTTAAAATTATATTTCCACCTACCTGGTTAAAATTAAATTGCCGAAAATGTACCCTCCAAAAACTCCGGAGATGTAAAAAAAAATGGAAATGAAAATAAAAAAAATGTCGGAAACTGAAAACAAATGTTGGAAATGATTGCAAAATGCAGCGATAATAACTTCCTCATACTACAGACGTGCATGGAGTATACTGTACACGTGTTAATTTTTTTTTTAATAGATTACAAATATATACATGTATTGTTAAAGTTTTTGATTTAGGCCTTGAACTGAAATTTAAATCAAATCTGTATTCACTGTAAAAAAAAAATTGCTAAACTGATTAATACGAAAGATTTTTTTATTGAAATAGTTGTACATCCAGGCCAAAAGAACGCAAAGGGGGGGGGGGCAGATGGGGCCCGCCCCCTTTTTCCGAGTATAGTATTCTATAGTAGAGTTTCCTTTAGATGCTGGTTGCCCCCCTCCCCTCCACTTTTTGTTGTTGTTGTGAGGTCAAGCACTTGCGAATTCCAGGATTTATACAGTAAATTGTTTTTTGTTTTTGTTTTTTTTTGTTTTTGTTTTTTTGCTTGTCAGATTTTTTTGGAAGTTGCCCCCCCCCCCCCCCCCACTTTTGGTCAGTTTTTGTTTTTGTTTTGTTTTTTTGCTTGTCACATTTCTTGGGAAGTCCCCCCCCCTCCCTTTCGAAACCGTTGCTACGGGCCTGTACATCATAAGGAATCGAAGAAAAATGATGTGTGGAATTGAATCAATGGAACCCGGAATCATGAAACAAGATTAAGTCAAAATTTTAATCACATGCAAGATGTTTAAAGATGTCTATTAGTGAAACTCGAAGCATGATTCGCAGACAAGAGCAGTTTGATGATGTGATGTTTAATAGCATTTTCATTTTGGACTGTTTGACCTTCGAACATTTCAGTGCAGTAGACAAATTTTGACCTATACACGTTTCACGATCCCGGGGCCTAGAGTATAACGAGGATGGTGGTGTGGCCATTGAATAGGCACTTTTATGGGTGTTACCTTGAATTAAAGACGTCACTTTACACATAAATGCACCAAAGGGCCAATACAATCCGGTTTGGAGTTGAGTAGCTAGATGAATCCACATACAGAAACAAGCCACCAAAATGTCAGACACACTGAGGTTTAGAATCAGTAAATTTGTAGTCGTCCTCATCTTCTTGTTCAAGGCCACAATAAGAATGACCAAACTGTTTCCCACAAGGTTGATCAAAATCGGCGGGATATAAAAAGTTATTTTTAGACCCTTTTCCCAAGAAGGGGTTTCCTTTGCTGGGAAGAACTGTACTGGTAAAAGTTTTATAATCTCAATAAATTTTTTCGATTCCGTTTCCGGTTGACCTGGAATACAGTTTTGTAATGGACTGTAACCTCCTGAAGATCCAAAGATTTCAGCCATATTTCATTCTTGGCAAAAACTTCACATTTTAAAAAAAATAAGCAAGACAGAATTCCATAAATGTATGGACAGTGAAAGAGTCCATCACTTCACAAAGATGCGTTCAGATTAAAAAAAATATATCCATTTCATAGATTTTTTCTGCAATTTTAACAAATGATGTAGTTTGGTCGAGTGTTGTCAATTAACTCTCATTTGTATCTCCTATGGGCGTGGGATGTCTAAGAATATTTACATTTCATCAATATTTATGAACAGATTGTTAATTTACGAATTAAGCTGATTTATCAGCTCAAGGCATTTGTACATAATCAGGGATTCAAGTCAACAACTGTCTATGGTTTAATACAAGTATCGATTTCAACACAAAATGACATATGCCTAAATTGTGTGCAGTTTCCCGATTATAAAAAGACAGAATTTCCCTCTGCATCAATGAAGCAGATTTAACTCGACACAAGCAGTCACAGTGTGTGAATAAACCAGATCTGACGATCCTGCAACAAGATCAGAAAATTGGTGGTCATCATAATCCGGAGACTCTCCTCAAGGGATTTCAATATTTATAATGTCCATAAAAAAATCTACCTATAAAATGATTAAAATAACACCCCTTCCCCCTAAAAATTCTTCGTCCTTGGTCAGGTTAGTCCTCATGGTCTCGGATTCTCCATAATGACATCTACAAATGGTGCTTAACTGTACCGTTACATCTCCAGATGATGGAGCAATTTATATTCGATAACTTCTTTTCTTTTTTTCTGATAAACGTAACTTAAGAAATTTATCCTCTGCATATTATATAAGCCATTGCCTCGAGAATACAGAGAATTTACCAATATTTGTGTTTTCGGAAGTTCGTTTCGGATTGGGTTGAAGCAATACTGCTCAACATGAAAAAGTCTGCATTTTACAACCGAAACGTTGAACATAACCACTTCACATCTTTGTCTCGGAGCTATATACGTGAATGTTGTCATCAATTCATCAGCTAAATACATGTAGTATACAGCAAACGTCACTGAATCGACAGTTGGAGGCTCAAGAAAACTGGGAAAGTCACAGCTAAAGATAAGCCGTGTAAACGACTACTGCATACAGAGGTGATTTCATCTTAATTCAAGACGAGGAAAAATATTTTGTCAAGTGTCATTTTGAAGGTGACTTATAGTCCTTTACATGCCGAAATGGTTAACTACTCAAATCTCTGGACTTTGAGTACTCAATGCCAATGTCTAATGAAAACAATTCACGACAAAGTCAACCTTGATAACTTACATTTATTCAATAACATAAAAAAAGTAATAAGAAACGTGTATAAAAATATATAATATTGCATTTTTTCATGACAAATGCACAATTACACATCAATTACTACATTGAATCGGTATACAAATGACAGTAAAATTTTGGCAAAGTTTTTGATTGTTTACGTCTTAAGTCCCATGGTTTTAAAGATAAAAGCAGCTATTTTTTCATAACACAGGAACATTAGAGCTGCGGTCATCACAGTTTGTACAAGCTTGGCCTCCATGCCTCTGTATAGTCCTTGGAAGCCTTCAGATCTGTATTAAAAAAAACCCACAACTTGAATGATGGATTACAGTGTATTACTAGTATTTCACTTTATAGCAGTGAAAGTCTTTCTCTCATTATTTTTTTTTTTTACAGACAGATCCCCCCCAAGAGGCCCATGGTCCACAATGCTCACCTGGCTGAGTAATTTTGGCCCTTCTTTTTTCATCAGCAGGTTATTTTCTCTATATATTCTTAGATCACATACTGTGGCCCAACCCTACCCCAGGGGGGTCATGATTTTAACAAACTTGAATCTACAATGCCAGAAGATGGTTCCACATTAATATGACTAATCATAGCTTTGCTATTCTTGAGAAGATTTAAAAAGATTTTTTTTCCCTATATACTCAAATGTTCAAAACTTTGATCGCCCAATGAGACCCTTACCCTACCCCCTGGGGATATGATTTAAACAAACTTGAATCTACACTTCCCGAGAATGCTTCCACATCAATATGACTAATCATGGGTTTGCTGTTCTTGAGAAGAAGATTTTAAAAGATTTTCTCCCTATTTATTTACATGTTCAAAACTTTGACTGCCCATTGTGGTCCTACCCTAGCTGGGTGGTAATGATTTGGACAAACTTGAATCTGCACTATGTGAGGATGCTTCCATGTAAGAATAACTAATCATGGCTTTGCTGTTCCTGGGAAAATTTTTTTTTTAAAGATTATTCCTACATGTACGTATTCCTAAAAAAAATTTTATCACCCATTGTGGTCCCTCCCTATCTGCAGGGGGCATGAACTGAACAAACTTGAATCTACTACCTGAGGATGCTTCCATCTGAATATGAATGATCATGGCTTTGCTGTTCTTGAGAAAAAGATTTTTAAAGATTTTCCCTACATGTATGTATTCCTATGTAAAACTTTGATTGCTCATAGTGGCTCCAGCCTATCTGAGGGGTCACAATTTGTACAAAGTGAATCTACTCAATGTCAGGAAGCTTTCATGTAAGTTTCATTTTTTCTAGCCCAGTGGTTCTTGAGGGGAAGATTTTTACATGACCCCACCCAATTCTCATATTTCTTTATTATCTCCCTTTGGAAGAGGACATGACCCTCCATCTGAAAAAAAATTGAATCTCCTTCTCCCAAAGATACTCTGTGCTGAGTTTGGTCAAAGTTTGGACCAGTTGTTCTTAAAAAGGAGATGAAAATGTGAAAAGTTTATGATCAGAAAAGCTCACATGAGCCTTGGGCTCAGGTAAGCTAAAAATTGTGTGAAATTAGACAAGCCCATTGACCACAACGCTCACCTGATTAACATTGGCCCAGCTGTGTTTCATCAGATTTTTTTTCTTTTCATTCACAATAAAATTTTGACCCCATATTATGGTCCCAACCTATCCTCAAAGCTCGTGATATCACTTGAACCCAACCAACAAGGAGATGCTTCATTATTAATATGACTAACATAATCCATACTAGAGCAAACAATTTTTTCCTGTATGCAGTATCTGAAAATGCTTGCCTCCTGCTCATGAGGTAAAGATTTTAAGTTTATTTTCCACATATATTCTTATGTTAAACTTTGTACCCCAGTTGTGGTGCCACTCTACTGCTAAGGGCCATGATTTGAACAAATTTAAATCTGCACTACTATGGAAATTGGAATGCTTGCATATAATTATCTTGGCCCTGCTGTTGTTGATGAAAATTTTCCTATACATTCCCACTGGGTGGGCCCAACCTAACCCTTGAGATCATGATTTGGACAAACTTGAATATACAGTTCTACACTATGTCATGAAGCTTCCACATAAGTTTGATCTTTTCTGGCCCAGTGGTTCTTGACAAGAAGAATTTCAAATCACCAACCCCATTTAAATGACCCAAACCCCAAATTAAGACAGTTTGGGACAAACATGAAATTAGTCCAAAACCTGGAAAAATGCAAAACAGTCAGAAATTAGGCTTCAAGTGTTTGCGAACAAGTGTCTACAGCAGATCATGGGAATTAGGTGGCCAGAAAAAATCTCCAACTTAGAACTGTCGAGAAGAAAAACCAGCGGTCCATAACAAATCAATGAGAGAAAATGGAGCGCTGGACTGGGCATACTTAAAGACCTAAGAGCAACATCATGAGGCATGCTATGAACTGGAACCCTCATGGTGAACAAAGACAAGGGCATCCAATGACAAGTTGGAGAAGAACTCTAGATAGGGAATTAAGATCAATCTGTATGTTCTGGGGAGAGGCTAAACAAGCAGCCCAAGACAGACACAGATGGAGAGCTTTTGTGGTGGCCCTATGCCCCTCCAGGCAAAAGAGGATCAGTAAGAAAGTAACCAATTTTTGCCAATTTATTTCCCCTTGGAAGGTGACATTGTCCTTAATTTCAACAAATTTGAATCCCCTTTCTCCAAGAATACTTTGTTAAATGTGGTTGAAATTGGACTTGTGGTTCTAAAAGAAGATAAAAATGTGAAAAGTTTACAATGACAACACACAATAGCCAAATTCTGATATCAAAAAAGCTTAAAAAAGGTATAATTTTAATTGTTAAAGTGATGTACTGTATGTATAACATATTTAGCCCCATTACCTGACCAACAAAGGGGCAGTATAAAAAATCTTTTTTGGCAGTCATACTAAGGCAATCTAAAGGCCTGTGATCTACACATTTAAAATTTAAATACAGTCAAACTCCCTCACTCTGAAGCCAGTGGGGATATGGGAAAGACTTCTGAAATATCCAAGTATTTAAGATATATGTATAGGTAACAATATTTAAATAAACAAGATGTGTTTGTGAAACACTGATGCCCCCATATGGCAGCTTATGGCGAAGGTTAAAGTTTCTCCAATGCAAGTCAAAATCCAGGCCAAAAGATAAAAAAATGTTGGTATCCAAAGAAAGGTCTTGTCTTGAGGATTATACCTGTGAAATTTGAAAGCCCTAGCTGCAACTGTTCAAAAGTTATGGCGAAGGTTAAAGTTTTTTAGAAGTAAGTAAAACGTCAAGGTCAAGGTCAAAGTTGTTGCTATCAAAAAGAAGGTCTTGTCACAAGGATTGCATATGTGAAGTATAAAAGCCCTAGCACCAACCATTCAAAAGTTATGACCAAGGTTAAAGTTTTTCGAAAGTAGGTCAAACTCCTATGTCAAGGTTAATGGGTCAAAGTGGTTGCTATCCAAAGGAAGGTCTTGTCACAAGGATAACATATGTGAAGAATGAAAGCACTATCATCAACCATTCAAAAGTTATGACCAAGGTTAAAGTTTTTCAAAAGTAGGTCAAACTCCTAGGTCAAGGCAGGGTTCGACACTAACTTTTTTAGGTTTTAGTCCGGCCGGACTAGTGCTTCTTTACTTTTACTAGTCCGCATGCAATTTTATGAGTCCGTCAAAAAAAAGAAACATCAACGTTTTGTAGCATTAATTTAAAAATAAACATTTCAATATATGTTTTTATACTTTTTTAAAATAAACAAAGCATTTACGTGAAATGGCTTATTCCTAGCACAGATTCGTTAAAATCTCGCGATCAACGATAGTTAGAATAATCTAACTGTGTCTCGGGACAAGCCCTCACCACAGTTAGAATAGGCCTACGTTCCATATGCTTACAATGTAGCAAATTGGAGTGGATCCACTCCGAAATTATTTTGAAGAATACAAAAGGAATTGCACTGAAAATAACTACCAAATTAATCATAACAAATCTTTTTGAGATAATCTATGTCTTTTAACCTAAAAAATAAGCCATATAAATACGAAAATTCAACTAATTTTCTCAACGTTTTTTCCTCGCTTCAAATTTAACGCCATGTTGACATTCGAAACTCTCTGGATTGTTCATAGAAAATGCACAGAGTACGAGTCATCGCCCGTGTTTATTTTGCAACATTGCCAATACACGGAACGAATTCTATCGTTAAACCGGGTCCGTAGGACAATATCATTTTAACGATAGAACGTTCTATCTAGATCAACGAGTACGATCGTATTCCTGATCTAGTTCTTTTTCTCTTTACATTACATCCAAAATGTCTGACATCTTTCTTTTATGTGTCATATTAATTATGATCGCTAAAACGTTTTACTTCAAACCAATCAGTCGAAAAAATTATGCGCTAACTCGAAATTGTCTAACTCCCCGCCAAAAATCTAGAAAGCTAAAAATAAATGCGGGGTTTTCCAGTAAAAGTTGTGGAGAATTGGACATCTTTAAATTATTCATGTTGTTTTCCAGGAATTTTTATTGGTCCGTTCGGACTAATTAGCCACAGATTTTTTTAGTCCGAATGAAAATGTATTAGTCTGAGACTAACGGACTAAGGTTAGTGTCGAACCCTGCAAGGTCAAAAGGTCAAAGTGGTTGGTATCCAAAAAAAGGTCTTGTCACAAGGATTACATATGTGAAGTATGAAAGCTCTAGCTCCAACTATTCAAAAGTTATGGCCAAGGTTAAAGTTTTTCAAAAGTAGGTCAAACTCCTAGGTCAAGGTCAAAGAGGTTGATATTCAGAGGAAGATCTTGTCACAAGGAATACACATGTGAAGTTTGAAACCCCAAGCACCAACTGTTCAAAAGTTATGGCCAAGGTTAAAGTTTTTCAAAAGTAGGTCAAACTCCTAGGTCAAGGTCAAAAGGTCAAAGTTGTTGGTATCCAAAGGAAGGCCTTGTCACAAAGAATACACATGTGAAGTTTGAAACCCCAAGCATCAACTGTTCAGAAGTTATGGCCAAGGTTAAAGTCTCATAAAATTTTGCAAAAGTGGGTCAAACTCCAAGGTCAAGGTCAAAAGGTCAAATATGATGGTACCCAAAGAAAGGTCTTGTCACAACGAATACACATGTGAAATATGAAAGTCATAGCTCTAACCAATCAAAAGTTATGGGCAAGGTTAAAGTTGACAACAAACAGACAGACAAACAGGACAAAAACAATATATCCCCGGGATCTTTCGATCCCGGGGCATAAAAAGTTGGGATTTTAAATCACTTCAACATATCCATGATATTTGAAATAACAATGTTCAAGATACTGAAATTCAACTGTACGTCTTAACTTTCAAATAAGCTGAAACAGTATTATAACTTTTTTCTCTTACCTGATTATATCAAGTAAACTTTGGACAACCTTTTTGGAATTTTCTGATCTTTTGGTACTAGCCTTCAATGAATGGAAATAATTTGTTATGTACTTACAATGAACAAAAACATGATTTTAAATGAATGCTCTACATGTTAAAAAAATAAAAGTAAAAATAGGAAGTGTCCAATCAGTAATTTCATGATTCTACTGAACACTTGCACACTTTACCTACATAGTCAGCTTCTAATGCAACTATTGAATGCTAACTCTTGAGTATATGTCAGAATTTTCTACCTCTTCATGTCAAATGAACTAGTAATATTTGCTCTAAATCACAACTGTTTATGTGAAGTGTCTAAGAAACATTTATTAAAAGCAAAAAAGTGTTTATATCAAATGTAACATTATTACCTTCTCCAAAGCAGAAATATTCATGTTCAAAGTAACAGTTACTAGGGTATACTTGCTTTAATTCTTTTCATTCATGTCAAGTATTTCATTATAACAATAATACTCCAATGTGGACTGTTCACATCAAATGCAATAGTAGCCATGATGCAGAATTGTTCATTAAATTTACAGTTATAAAATATACCAATAACACTTACCCTTAATCGAGATTGCAAGATTTGTAAAGGGTATGTTACTATGGTGGCTACTGTTTTTGATATTGCACCAATGGTGAAGTATAAAAATCCACTAAGATCCTGTTCAATACAAAAGATTTTCAATCCAGGTATTAAATGATAAAATTAACCCTGAAATATTGTTAATAACAATCTTGGGAATTATGATAACAAGGGTATATCAAGGAATTAAAAAAAAAAACAAGAAAAAACCCAAAAACTATATTCTCAGAGATTAAGGAGAAGACTATGGTACTTGCTTTTGATTTGAAAAATTGTTGAAAGTATCTTTTCACAGTCTCATACACCATGAACTGTATGGAGGGATTGGAAGCTAAAATGACAGAAGCTGTGGTTCCATTCCAAAGGGCAGGAACTCCTTCCTGTGAAATTATTTTACGTAGACCATCTGTAATTAAACAAATTAAACGAAGAACTTACTAAAATACACTAGCAACAATTACAGGTATATTAATTTTAATTTATCAATAGAGTTATTTCATCTTTTGATGGGGGGGGGGGGGGGGACAGATAATAGTTGAAGTCTTGAATTAATTTTTCAAAATTCCTTGATCTGTTCATATCAGTATACTGTAGTCTCTTTTTATTTCATCTTCCAAACAAAATTTACTTTCATCTAAACTGATACTGTCTCATTTTCTACAAACAATCATTTTATTTCAAAATTCGTATACACAAAGTCTTGCATACTAAGTACAAACTGAAAAATCAGAATCCCACCTAAGATCCCCCTGTAGGTGGGAGGGGGTGTTGTCTTCAGTGTTTCAGTGCCACATTTGATTCCCTGCAGTTTGATTCTGGTGTTAACAACCCAAAGAGGATTTGTGACCAGAACATTGATGACACCTGTAATAATTCAACATTTCTGTACACAAGTATTCTAAATATCAATGTGACTAACCTGCAAGGCTGGACATTAACTTTTGTCCACTTATCCAGTCCCAGTGAAAATATTTCATGGAAAAATGAATATTGCTGGGTACTGTCCGATTGGACACAGTTGATAAATTCTCACCAAATTATGTATTGGTGCATATTAAAGCTTACATAAAATATCTTGAATAATTTATTTGAAATTGATTTAAATGTAAATCTTAAAAAAGTTAGGTCAACTGACTAGTTATGGCTTTGTTGTTCTCTAGAAGAAGAGTTTTAAAAATTTTTCCTATTTGTTCCTTTGTAAGACTTGGATCACCTATTGTGGCCCCAACTTACCCCTAAAGGTCATGATTTGAATAAACTTGAATCTACACTACCTTAGGATGCTTCCATATCAATATGACCAATCAGGGCTTTGCTGTTCTTGAAAAGAAATTTTTTTCTATATATTCCTATGTAAAATTTGATTGCCCATTGTGCCCCCCCCCCCCCTTTGGGGTCATTATTTTAAAAAAAATTGAATCTACACTATCTGAGGAGAATTCCATATAAATGTGACTAATCAGGGCTTTGCTGTTCTTAAAAGCCAGATTTTCAAAAAGATTTTTTCCAATATATTCCCATGTAACAATTTGATTGCCAATTGTGGCCTCTCCCTCCTCCCATGATTGATTTGAACAAACTTGAATGTACACTATGTAATGAAACTTTCTTACAATGTAATAAGTTACATCTTTTCTGGCCCAGTGGCTCTTAAGATAATTTTTGCCATTAATTTTTCATTAACTCTTAAAGGTGCTTAGACACAGATTTGAAGTTAATATTTACTCAAATTTTCTGTATAATTTCATGACTTATATGTTGCTATAGCATTTCATACGAAAATTTGATAAAAATCTTATTTTATCTGGAAGTTATTGAAACTTCGAATTTCTGGACGCCTTTGATAGACACATCCTTGCACTTTCACAAAATTTAACTTTATCCTTATTACTTTAGAAAAGTAGCAGTTTTGTTGTTTATTAATGAAAAATATTAAAACTATAATGCAGAAGTTTCATAGTAGAAATGTAGAAAGCAAAATCCTCTCACCAGTTTTGTCAGTCCATGCTCAGTGGTGTGTGCAGAGTTTAACAATTGAACACACTCGGTGAAACGTAAACATTAACAACAACAGAGCTCGTGCCCTGTTTACAAAATCAGTTTACGTTTCATGGATGTAATCAATTTGTTAAACTCTGTACACAACTACACAACACTGAGCACAGGCTGACAATACTTAAGTGAGTGGGTTTTGCTTTCGCACATTTTTACTCTGAATTTTCTGGATTATAGATGTAATATTATTCATTAATACACAACAAAATTACTACTTATCTTAAGTATTAAGGATAAAGTTAAAAATTGTAAAAGTGCAAGGATGTGTTAATCAAACCTCTCTCCCGAAATTGGTAGTTTCAATAATTTCCAGATTAAATAAGTTTTTAATTTTATTTTCGTGTGAATTGCTACAGTAACATATAAGTTGTGATATTATACAGAAAATCTGAGAAAATATAAACTTCAAATTTGTGTCTATGCCCCTTTAATGAAAGAAAGCATGGTCCTGTTTGAACAAACTTGAATCCCCTTCATCCAAGGATGCCTTGTGGCAAGTTTGGTTGAAATTGGCCCGGTGGTTCTTGAGAAGAAGTCCCAAATGTAAAAAGTTAACAGATGGAAAGACAGACAGAAGACAGATGCCAGGTGATCAGAAAAGCATCCTAGAACCTTTGGTTCAAGTGAGCTAAAAATCTTTGATTCTTGCATTGGATGTCATTAACAATGTACTTTAAAAATAAGAGTATACTAAACACAACCTTTTTTTCATGAATGTAGATGTTTATATGTTCTATTCCCTAGTGTTTATAAGATAAAATTCTGATTTTACTTACCTGACACAAAAGCCATCAATAGATCCTTCAAAGGTCCCGGCTTGCTCCCTTCCTCCTGCAGTACTGTTTTAAGACCATTGTAGGTATAGAAGTATACAAAGTTAGAGCAACACAGTGTGACTAGTACAGGAAAAAGGCCCTGGTAAAGGGACAATCTAAAACAACACACATGTACTGTAGTTAGTATAAAACACAAACTGTACACTATAAATATTGCACAAAAAATGAATTACATTTTATGCGTATGCACCTTATAAACAATTTAAATGATGATGTTTTTTAATCAATGATGTCTTGAAATATTTCACTATCAGTAACAACCATTAAATCACAGTAAGCCAGAAATTTGTGAAACAATTTTTTTCTCTCTCCAGTATTCTAGTATTTTGCCTTCTATAATTCCTAGCTATCAAAATCATAATTTTTTATGGAAGTACATGTAACGTGCATTTAAAAAAGTTGGTGTGGTATCACAAAAACAACAGGAGGCCCATGGACCACATCGCTCATTAGAGCACTTTGGTTAGGAAAAGCAGACATGCGTTCATTATTGAAAAGTTAAAATATAAAGACTTTAAGTGGGGGGAGAGGGCATGATTTGAACACTCTGACTCTTGAATCTACACTACCTGAGGATGCTTCTAAATTAATAATGACTAATCATGGCTTAGCTGATCTTGAAAAGTTCCTATATAATCCAATGTATAAATTTGATTGCCTATTGTGGCCTCTCCCTACCCTGGGGGCTCATGATTTGAACAAGATTTAATCTACACTGCCTGAAGATGCTTCAATATAAATATAACTAATCATGGCTTTGTTGTTCTTGAGAAGAAGATTATAAAAGATTTTTCCTATGCATTCCTATGTAAATCTTTGATCACCCATTGTGACCACTCCCTACCGCCAGAGGTTATGATTTGAACAAACTTGAATCTACACTACCTGTGGATGCTTCCATGTAAATATGACATTATAGTTTTGCATTTCTGGAGAAGAAGATATTTAAAGATATTTCCTATGTATTCCTTTGTAAAACTTTGATCACCCACTTGGGCCCCTCCCTACCACTGGGGGTCATGATTTGAACAAACTTGATTTTACATTATCTGAGACTGCTTCCATATATATATATGCTGTTCTTGATGAGAATATTTTTAAGGATTTTTCTTAATACCCTTCAATCTCTGGAACTTTTATTACGATCCCTTGGACTTCGAGAGATCAAGAATCACCTGTATGTACATGTATTTGAGTGCAAAACTATTCTGGCCCATCCTTACCCCCTTGGGGTCAAGATTTGAACAAATTTGAATCTATACTTCCTGACGATGCTTCCACACAAATTTTATATTTTTAGGCTCAGTGGGTTTTTTTTTTTTTGTTTTTGTTTTTTTTTGAAGAGGTCAGGAAGATTTTAAAAAGATGCCATTAATTTTTTCACTAATCTGTAATTATCTCCCCTTGGAAGAAAGATTGCCTCTTCACTTGGACAAACTTGAATCCCCTATACCCAAGGATACTCTGTACCAAGTTTGGCTGAAATTGGCCTAGTGGTTCTGGAGAATAAGATGAAATTGTAAAAAGTTTACAAGTATATTGCAAGACAACAGACAAATTTTGATCAGAAAAGCTCAAGCCTTTGACTCAGGTGAGCTAAAAACAAGAGGCCCATGGGCCACTGCGCTCACCTGAGTAACTTTCGCCTTGTTGTTTTTCACCTGATTTCCCCCCTTATAGTACTTATTGTGGTCCCGCACTAACCCCAGGGGTCATGATTTGAACAATTTAGAATCTACACTTCTCCAGGATGATTCCACAAAGTTTCAGCTTTTCTGGCCCAGTGGTTCTTCAGGAGAAGATTTTAATGTCATATTTCAATGTAAAATTTGGATTCCCTATTGTGGCCCCGCCCTACCCCCGGGGGTCATGATTTTAACAATTTAAAATCTACACTACCCCAGCATGCTTCCACTTAAGTTTCAGCTTTTCTGACCCAGTGGTTCTTGAAAAGAAGATTTTTACTTTATATTTCAATGTAAAACTTGGATTCCTTACTGTGGCCCCGCCCTAACCCCGGGGGTCATGATTTTAACAATTTAAAATCTACACTACCCCAGCATGCTTCCACTTAAGTTTCAGCTTTTCTGACCCAGTGGTTCTTGAAAAGAAGATTTTTACTTTATATTTCAATGTAAAACTTGGATTCCTTACTGTGGCCCCGCCCTAACCCCGGGGGTCATGATTTGAATAATTTAGTCTACACTACCCCAGCCTGCATCCACTTAAGTTTCAGCTTTTCTGGCCTAGTGGTTCTTGAGAAGAACATTTTAAAAGATTTTTTACTACATATTTCAAAGTAAAACTTGGATTCCCTATTGTGGCCCCGCCCTACCCCCGGGGGTCATGATTTTAAAAACTTAGAATCTACACTACCCCAGGATGCTTCCACATAAGTTTCAGCTTTTCTGGTCCAGTGGTTCTTGAGAAGAAGATTTTTTAATGACCCCACCCTATTTTTGTCTTTTCTTGATTATCTCCTCTTGGAAGGGGGCTTGCCCCTTCATTTTAACAACTTAAACTCCCCTTCACCCAAGGATACTTTGTACCAGGTTTGGTTAAATTTGGCTCAGTGATTCTTGAGAAGAAGTTGAAAATGTGAAAAGTTTACAGACGGAGGGATGACAAACAATTGGTGATCAGAAAAGCTCACTTGAGCTTTCAGCTCAGGTGAGCTAACAATTAAACCTTCCCCTCATCATTAATATATCTTTGGTGACTTACATCCCTTCATCTTTTATAATGTCCAAAGCTTCCATTGGTGTGTGTTTAGCTTGTCGACCTACATGTACTACAAATAGAAAACACCTTTGCTGTATGAAACTCATAAATATCATAAATTTCAGGAATATAAATTAATCTCTACTGGCCAAAAAAATATCACACAAGGTGTTACATAATTCATTATCATCTTTTACAGAATGATCTACCAACCACAATAATTACCCTGTAATCTTGTTCTAACAGTTTCCAGGGGATAAAATACAGCCATTGCAATTACACTGCCCTGCAATGATTGAATTACATTCACATTATTAAATCAGTATTACAATTAATACATAAACTTGAAAATCGAAAAACCAGTTTGAATTTACATTCTTTAATTTCATTAAATATGACTTTGTGACATCACCATAATTATGAAATAATTCAAAAAAAAATATACAGGAAAACTTTAATACTTTCATTTTGATTACTACAAAGTAAGGATGAATTACAACTTTTTACAAGAAATAACATAGAAAAAAACACTCACCGTTGCTCCTGACACAGCATGCACAAAGTTAGAGTAGGTCAGAAGACTGCTCAGTCTGGAGGACATGATTTTGCTATCAACAGCTGCCAATTTTAAAATCATCCTAAATCTCTAAGTGTAAACATTATTAGAGTTATCTGCCCCTGGTCAGACTAATGTACCACAGATGACCCAAAGACCCAGGAAAAATTGATAGCAAGGTTATATATTGATATACAGGGTATGTCGGACACCTCGGCCCAACGACACTTCGGCCCATTGACATCTCGGCCCAATGACACCTCGGCCTCGACTGGTCGGCCCAAAATTTAAGACACCTCGGCCAATACATAAGACACCTCGGCCCAAGCAAAGTTTTATTAGGAAGTATTATATATTTTCAATCTGCGACTTCAATAAAATTTTGACTGGAAAAAAGTAAACGATGATGATTATTTTTAGTTATAAAAAGACCTTCCACAAGCTGCATGATTGACGATTATCAAGGAATAAAAAGACAATAATAATTTTAAAAGTGCTAACAAACAAGATGCCGCGGCACATCCTTTGGAGCCTTCAGTGCGATTATTTATACTGACATAAGTATAAACAATGAAATCAGATGTTTCAGATAGTCAGAGAAATAATGCAAAATGTTACGATAAATTTCCGGCAATTATTATAGAAAGTCAAGATCCTATGAATATTGATATATATTATAGTTCCATATAAGTGTATATATTAGGGATGTTTCACAAGAGATAGATGTTAGTTAAGGACGTGCTGATCTGATTTGCTTAGGGAAGTTAACAAATTTTCTATTATAGACCCCCCTTCCCCTTGACTTTTTAAAAAAATCTTTTAATTAACTGTCAGAAAGAATAATTACATCGATAATAATAATTAACAATTTAGACACTCGATTAATTTTTTCTATCATAAAATTTCACTTGGGCCGAGGTGTCTTTTATATGGGCCGACGTGTCAATAATCTTGGGCCGACCTGTCAGGGCCGAGGTGTCAGACGTCGAGGGCCGAAGTGTCGTTGGGCCGAGATGTCTGTTTACCTATACAGGTATAACTTCAACATTTTAAATATTTTCCATACAATTTTAGACATCTTTTATATATAATTCATATGTAAATAAAGTGTGAAGTTTCAGTTAATATATATACATGGATCAGAGACTTAAAAAAATTAATTCAGAGTCAATCAATCATACAGAAATTTTGAGAGCAATTAAAGCAATAATAAACATCATATAACACTAACAAATAATTTTTGTACATATAGCAAATGCATATAAATAATCACTTAGCAAAGGTTTTGTATTTGTCAATAAATTCATGAATTAAAACACATTGCAACACAAGATAAATGATCGTATTTCCTGATGAATTCTGTTCAGTGTATTGAGCTCAAATGTAGGATTTGATCCATGACTTCCAGAGACCATGACTGTTCTGTGTTCCTTACATGAGAGAGATCCTGTAGTTTAATGGCATTCACTATAGGGAGGTCTCCACTTCTGACCATTGAAGCAACAATCATTACATACTTTCCTAAACAGAAAGCTTAAAGTCATCTTCAATGAAATAAAAAAATAATTTTGAAAGCATATATTTTATCTAAACAGAGGTTTAAATGTGTAAGAATTGTACCAAACCTCATTTTTTTCTTCTTTTCTGAAAGATTACTACAGAATCTGAGCAAGTGAAAATTTGCTAAGAGAAATCTCTCCTCCCTGCAAAGAATAAATACTTCTCAGGGAGCAAAGGAGAGTATAAAGCATATTAGTCTATGTAATAATTCAATAATTCTAACCTATATCTAGTGATGGTGAGATAAAGGGTATGTTGTTGTATCCCAAAACTTTCACTTTTCCAGTACTGTCATCTAGTATCAGGAAGCCTTCTTCTTTATTAACCTTTTGAATAAAGTGTTGTTTATTGATTACTACATTTTAATAATTATGTAAAGTCAATATTAAAATAGAACTACTTGAGACCCTCCTTTTTCTCATATCCTATATTTACCCTCCCCCCCCCTCCAACCAAGCTTCCATCTTTACTCTATATATCACATTGTCATAAATGGCAAGAAAAGACAAGGTGATAAGTTTCTTGCTACCATCATCATGATCATATAGGGCCTACATTCCTTCCACATTTTTAAAATTAACAAGACATCTCTCTTGAAATACGATTCGCGTATGGAAAGATTGATATTGATTTTTTGGGGTAGTTTTTTTCAAAGAAAATGTAAAAATTGTTTTATTTGCAAATAATATGCTTTAGAGTTTAATTAAACCGTATTTACTTCAGTAACAAGACCTTGGATCCACACCACAGTCACGAGAAACTCAACGCCATTGCATTCCACTTTCCACTCTTTATGTTTCTTTCTTGCTCTCTCATTCTCTTCGTTTTCTGGATTTCGCAGACGGATACTTTTACATATATCTCGTACAAAAACTTTTCTTGCAGGATAATCAAGTACAGCCGTCATCCTTGCTCCTAGCAGCGATTTATAGCTGTCAAGTTTCCCGCCTTTGATTTGGGTAAACTTAGTAATACGAGGATACCACGACGGCTGACTGGTACGTTGTTGGAACGATGGTTCAAAACAATCAAAAACAAAACAAAACAAAAAAAAAACAAACAAACAAACAAAAATAATAAATAACGGGAAAGAGAGAGAGAGAGAGAGCAAATTTCAATTAATGTTATAAATGTATATTTAGGGCAATTTTTTTCAATGTCTATTTTTTTTTGTCGCCCGCGTTGCGCAATGGTTAGAGTGTTCGCTCTAGAGTCGCGGCGTAAGGAGTTGATCCTTACGTCGCAGGTTCGAATCCAACTGTGGGACGTGGAGACCGGTCCTTCGGATGAGACCGTATAAACCGAAGTCCCGTGTCGCAGTAGGTGCTGGCACGAAAAAGATCCCTCACTGCTCAATGGCCCTAAGTGCCGAGTATTGGTCAAAATTTGTAGCTCTCCACAGGCAAGTGGTGGCGTCTCCATATGAGTGAAAAATTCTCGAGAGGGACGTTAAACAATAAACAAACAAAACAATCACCAAAATTTTATTTATTTGATGTGAAATACGGTTTCAGCATCGAAAGATTGATGTTACTATTAGCTCTTAATTATTTTATAGGATTAAAAAAAAGCCTGTTCTGGCAGGGTTATCTGCTCTCATTCTTAGCACATGTCCTATACATTTTCACCTCCTGTTTATTATGAAGTTACATGTACTTATCCTTTCCATGTTTGATATTTCTCTGACTTTTTCTTTTCAGTGTGGTTTTCATTACAGACACCTCAGTGACGAATGGTTGGTTTAACCCCCCCCCCCTTCTCAGATTTTTTTTAGACAGGTTGACTTTAATTAGGAAATATACATGAATTTCTAGCCTCGTTATTTGATATCATTTTCCGTTTTTTGTCAAGTTTTAGAGACTGCCCCTTTACGATATATCATTCAAAATACTTCATGAAAGATGCGGGTTGCTTGAATGACCATGTCTTGGAGAATCTGTTGTAGATTACTCTAGCATGATCAAATCGTCTCCCTATCTTTCTATCTGTCCCTAGTTCTTTACTTACTGTTGCACCAAGACAGACAAGTGTCAACTTCCTCCATCGCACTTCCGTTATTGATGTTGTTCAATATCAATACTTTTGTTTTGGCGGGGTTGATGGTTACTCCTGTTGATTTAAATGTTCAATTCTTCTGACTTCTGTTGTATTTGATCTTTACCACTTGATAGGAGAGCAATATCGTCTGCATAATCAAGGTCATCTAATTTGGATGTTAATTTCTCATGGATTCCACAGTTGTTTTCTTACGTTGTTTTCTTCATGATCCAGTCAAAGTATGGATAAGAATTCTGACATATTACATCCAGATTTTCCTGACAAACAGTCTGATGATCCAAACTCTATGTTTTAGTGCACACATGTTATAACTGTACAGGACTTTGATCTTGGTTATTGGTTTTTATGGAATTCCATCTTGATGTAGAATTTCCCTTATAACGTTTCTTGATGTACACTAATCTAATGCATTTACATAACCTATGAATAGCAAGTAAGTTTGATCTCCACTCTATTGCTTGTTCGATTGTTGTTTAACGTCCCATTCGAGCGACAATTGTTCACTCATATAGATAAGTCACCATATGTCGGCGAAGGGCTTTTTACTATACTCGGCACTTAGGGCCTTTGAGCATTGAGGGTTCTTTATTGTGCAAACGCCTACCATGACAAGGGACCTCGTTTTTTTATTAGGACCTGTGACTTTCGCTTCTAATGCTGGGTGCTTGGCGAAGGAACAGTCACTACCTATGTTTACGACCTAGGTTTGACGGTGACGAAAATCGAACCTGGTACCTCCCGAACACAAAGCGAGCGTTACCACAAGGCTACCGTGACCGGTTATTCCTTGTTTGATGCTGTTCCTCAGGATGTATATCTGTTCCGTTGTACCCCTCGCCTTATTGAAACCTGCATCTTCTCTCTACTGCTTGTCTAGTTTTGATAGTCTTGTGAGGATAAGTTTTCCTATTTTTTTTTTAGCCATTGTCAACATTAACACTGGGCCAAGTCTCCTTTTATGGGAAGCGTACCAGCCCTTTGTTTCAGCCTTGTGGGGCACTTTCTTCTCGCCATAAATCTTAATGATCCTGTGCATTTTATTTACTGCTGTTTTTATGTCTGCACTTAAAAGTTCTGCTGTGATTTAAAATAAAAATCACATGTCTTCTTCATGTGTCTGACATTTAGAACTAATATCATCTCTGGATGGTGGTTCTATGTCTAAAACTTTTCAATTGTTTTCGGATAATCTGGTTCAAGCCTGTTGAGAACATAATAAAAATGTTCCTTCCATCTTTCTCTTATCTCTGCTTTTTTTGATAGTATCACACCATCCGTTCTCTTCACAAAACCAAGATTCTTAGGTTTATCTTTACACATCTTCTTGGTGACATCGAACACACTTTTCGTATTGCTAGTTTGTGTTGCTTTCTCTGCCTCCCCTGCTAGCTCATCTGTCCCTTCTCATACCATTATTCTTTTTCACTCCTTTGTTTTAGTTATTGTTCTCTTTGTATTTTTACCGGTCACGGTAGTCTAGTGGTAGGGCGTTCGCTTCGCAGAGCGTTCACCGCGTCAAACCTAAGGCGTAAACATAGGTAGTGACCGGTCCTTCGCCAAGCGCCCCACACTAGAAGTGAAAGTCACGGGTCTTTTGGGTGAGACCTTAAAAACCGAGGTCCCGTGTCACGGTAGGTGTTGGCACGATGAAGAACCCTCATTGCTCAATGGCCCTGAGTGCCGAGTATAGGTCTAAAATTGAAGCCCTCCACCGGTATATGGTGACGTCTCTATATGGGTACATACCTCTAATTATTTTTAGAATCGGTAGGAGAAGAAAGTAGTGCAGAAAAAATTACAAGTTGTTTAATTTGCAGACCTGAGTAAAAAAAACTGTGATAAGGTATTAAACTGAGCCTCATACTTGTTGATAAGGAGTATGTTCCCTTGCAAAAAAGCTTGGCAGATGTAATTTATCAAGAAGATCAGCAGAATTATTTTATGTATTATAACACCAGTGAGAAGTCTTGAAATCCCCTACTTTCACTTTCATTTTCAGAGGTTAACGCAGACAGACGCATTTTGCCGGAAAACGAATCTGACATGCCACCTCGAGATTTTAACCAAGGAAAGACAACTTGATGTGCTTTGATTTGAGGGGTCACTCAATGCTGAACGAAAATTAGGGACATTGCTATGTGAAGAAATGTTAACATTGCCGCCTATGGGAAAACAATTAGTGGGCTGTACCCAATATGTGAAGCCTATTGGTAAGTGAAAATTCTCATAGATCTTTACTTTGTTTTGAACTCGGTGTTTACTATCATTTCCAATTGTTTAAATTTATGAAAGAAGCAAATTTTAATTTGTTTATACATATTTTGAAACAAATCGATTTGTTAATAACCCCCCCCCCCCATTTTTAGGAACAGACAGCTTATGCGCAAATCTCCCATTGTGTACACATGTAGCATGTAAATTAAATGTATCGATTCTATACAATTTATTAATTCCGAGCCATTAATAGATATTTAGAAAAGGAACAATTATTTTAGAAGTACATCCACCACTATTGTTTATCATCAATACACAAAAGTTCAGAAATGAGGTCGGAATCAGTATTCAGTGAAGTTCAAGGTCAAAGTGAAAGTAGAATGGCAGTAAGTTATCAACACTGCTTAGTGCAGCTATGCTACCTAATGCAGAGTCTTGCAGTATGTAGATGATATGCATTTGTCATTTTATGAAAGAGGTAAAGAAAAAAAGAGGTTTCCATGCTTTATTACAATATTTGTAAATGAAAACTTTTATTTTCATGGAATAGAATTACATGAACGAGGACATACATGTGCATTTTTTCAAAGAAGTCGGTCAGGCTACAGTTGTGTAGAAGTTAAGCAGTGTGTGTGTGAACATGCACACTAACATTTTTTTTTATATTTTATTAACTGGATTACATGTATTTGTCTAATGTATAATTATTGTCAGTTACATGCTTTTTACCTGTATTATTAATTTACATGTAATTTAACAATGCTGAGACTAATCAGTGCAAATTCATAATTTTCAATTGATATCAACCAATTAAGGGCATCAGGGAATGTTGTAGGATTGTGTGTGTTTGATGTCTGTCTGTGAATGTTTTAGGTGCTTTTTGATGCTGATTAATTATTGCACCATTTTTTAAATTGATTTTTTTTTTTAGGTTCATGTTGATACAGGTTAACTTTGAGGTTCATGCAGATGGTGTTTAAAACTATCAGTCAGGAAAAACAAACTCATTTGAACACAGCTTGAGTCTTCATATATAAAATGATGGCAGTACTTTTAATATGTAAGTTGAATTTTCTAAAGCTTCTTTGTGTGTATGTGTGTGTGTGCGGGAGGAGGGGGGGGGGTGTTAAAGCTTAGTAAATGTAGATTTTAAATGAATATTTGAGCAATGAAAGTGAACATCAAACTAATCTGTACATGTATGCTATATATTTTACAGCTAATATGTTTTAAAGAGAATTTCAAAACAGTTACATTCATAGTGTTGTGTATGATAAAATATTAAGATTAAAAAATATAAGAGTTGAAATTTCTTTAATATTTGTCAGTCAGAATGAGCGACTTGTAAGGAAATTCAAAACTTTCAAAGTTCTCTTTCATTTTCCTACAAATTACAAAATGGTTACCATGGAAACAAAACATTTTCTGTAGACTATTTATTTGATCTGCTCATGCAAGTATTTTTGTTATTTTATAGTTATAATGAATATTTTAGTTCTAATTTCAACTTTAATTAAAAGTACGGGAAAAGTAACACTACATGTGTAATAAGCAATCCATTATTATGATGTCATTATGACGTCATAGATGAGTGACCTTGCATTGGCGTAAAAATTGCTTTGAAACAGATGAATGTTTACAAGAATATAAGGGCTTATAACTTCTTTA